AGTTAACTAGTACTTGAAGACAGCAGGTCAGAAATACCCTGTCTGGCTCTGGGTAGCATGGCAGGAGACCAGGACCAGGACAGCTCACCTCTCCTCCTGCAGCTCCTCACCTGTCAGTGAGGTCTGTGTTGGCTGGCTTGAATATCATCAAGGTGTCCCTCTTGGGTTGTCTGCCAAGGGGTAATGGAGGAAGGGTTTCCTGAATGCTTTTTCCTTATTTATTTTGGCTCCACCAAAGGCTTTGTGTTTAGCTCCCATCATCTTTCCTCTGAATTAATAACCAGAGCGGGTTCTCCCTGTATATGCTAGGTGCCATTTGGCTTAACCCCACGTGCGCAACCACATCAGCTCTTGACATCAAGAGCCTGCTGAGTCATAGCCTCATCCTTCATATCACCACTGGTGACGCAAAGCAAGACAGCTCCTGGCCTTTGCTTCTCTTCTGTCCCAGCTTTCAGCAATGCTGCAGAACCTGAATTATATCAAAGGGCCCTTTCTGGAGACAGGGGACACTGGTCGTTTAAATGTTTCCGATACATTGGTAAGAATTGGTACTCACAATGGAAAAATTAATGTCCCATTTGTAGTCAGAGATCAGAGCATGGAGCAAGCTCTCTTAATAAACAATCTTTAGTCCAGTATTATAATTAGTATTATATATATAATATAAACATTTATACATATGTTATTTATCATTATTTTCCTCTTATACTTAACAGTTTCTGATTTTCCCTCCTCTGGAAGAGCAGGCTGTTGCTATCATACTGTCTTTGTGATTTCTGACTTGGCTTCTGTGACGAAATAAAAAACCAGCCCTCACTTCACAAACATGTGGTCATGCTTCTTAAATGAAACAGTGTGATGCTCGGAGTATCAGGGCTGTAATTCAAGTTGCTGGTCACAAACTGCCAAAGTAATATTTCTTTCAGGATATTGCCTTGCACTGGACCTGAAGATTGGCTTACAATCTGTTTCACCACGCAGGGTATCTGTTACTGTTAGGGAGAGTGATTAGCAAACACTGGCAAGGCATTCTCCCAAATAATGTGTCACTACTACTCACTGGTGAATTTAAATGAAAAGATAAATATTAAACACAAGCAGCTCACCTCTACGCATGCTTTTCCTCTGTTGTTTATGTATCTATTGTAGCAGATAAGATTTTTTGATGTTTTGTGAGCTGTCATTTAAAACCAACAAATCAAAGATCCTTACTAAAGGAACTCCTGAGCATAGAAGCAGGCCTTCTCCTATTAACAGCACCATAGCCAGATGTTATAAGTGCAGAAGTAAATGTTTAAAACACTAAGAGGTAAGTAGCGCATTCGCGGATTGTTCCTTTCAACTGAGGCTGTATTTGTTTCATCAATGATTTAAAACACTGAAAGTGCAATTTTACACTGGTTTGACTACTTCAAGTTGACTTTGGTGGCTTTGGCTATTGCTGTCCTAGTCCCAGATAGCAGCTGACTGAGAAGAGCTGTGCTACCATACTTGAAATAGTCATGCCAGCATTGCCCTTAGTTCTTTGCAATGAAGTGCCTCTTCCAAGGCAATGACAAACTGGTCCCAGATTCTCCATTCAGGTGAAATATTTTCCTAGTCAGGCAACACACGAGCTGGTGATACAGCTTCCTACAGAAGAAGAGTGCCAGATGCCACAGAGAATGCTCTTAGACAAGTTTTCTTGCTTTCACAGGTGTACTACAGCATGTGAGGCCCGTTAGATGGTGGCCTTTAGAGAAGAGCCCTTAGTGCTTTGGTGTTGAAGGGGCTTGAAATGATCTACTAGCTTGAATGTGTATGGAGCAGTTGACAAGAAACAGTGGAGGCAACCTTACCCCCATTAGCAACATCTTAAGCCGTGGAGAGAGAATGTCCTTTCTCATGTTTCCTGCAGACGCTGGAGATAATTCTGAGTCTGTAAAACTCTGCTGGGTGTATATATGCTGGATATATTTGCAAGACCTCAGTCCGAGTTTGAGGAGTGAGTACATTCTTGTCAGGTCTTCAGACTGATGCAGTTTGGAAAAAACAACCCATGCCAAAGTGAGGAGCTTCTGTCCATGCAGTCCTCTGAGAGCACAGATGTCTGCACCGTCCGCACCCACTAAGTGGGTCACGTACATGTTTTGCAGTTTAGAAACAGTTCTGAAACGCAGTGGGGGTGGAGCAGAGTAGTTTCTGTCCACCTATGCTATGTATTTATTCTCCTTAAACGAGCATTTGCCCCGCAATCTCGCTAAGAAGCACAGTTTAACTCGGAGAACACTCGACTCTTACTGTTCCCTGTGAATCTTGTTGGCTTATGTGGGGTTGGAGCGACTTCTTGCCATCTAAGTCTCAGTCTTAGATGAGACTCTATTACTTGCCACCAAGCAGTATCACTTGGTGACAAGTGCCACTGTGAGCAAAGTGGCAAGTAATCCCAGGTCACGCTCAAATGAATTAGCAATTGTCATTCAGTAAAGTGCTTGCATACATTTTCCAATCTAATCTTATTATATTTAATGGGATTTGGAATGTCCTTAATGGCTGTGCTATAGCTGAGTGATCTTCTGACTTGGAGCTTCAACCAGAGGCTGTACAGAACCAAACTGTGCAAACCTCCTGTCACCCTGGCACTCAGGCCCTGCCTCTGCAATGTGCTGCCCATCAGCGTCCTCTCTAAAATGGAGACTGCACCTCCTTGGGAGTCTCAGCAAGCAGCCTAGACACACATTTGCCAGGAGTGGTTAAGGTATAGCTGCTCCTGCCTTAGGCTTTAGGAATGGCCTTCTACAAGCAATTGCAACTCCATTTTCTGAGCCTTCATGCTACATGATGGTTAGACCATTACATGGGTGACAAGTACGGCTACTAGCTAGTAGCCAAAATTAAAACCAATCACATTAATTATGCAGATCTTTCTGTGCATCTTAAACCTTTCTAACTTTACCTAGGTATTTTCCTCAAGAAAAGAAGATTGGAGGAAAGAAAATGCTTTCCTTTTTATGTATGCCTTATTATTTACCAGCTAACATCAACACAACCATTCTTCTCTGTTTAACTAGGACAGATGTCAGACTTACTGGCCCACTGTTCCCTAGCTCCTTCCAAGACCCTCTCAGAAATATGCCACACGTTTGTACCATTTCTTGTACTTGGATATTAAGTCTACTTTCAGCTGCAGCACCATGGTCTTGGAGCTGGTAATTTCACTATAGAGTTCTGGTAATTGCTATCTGGTCCTGGCAATTTGTGACTATCAATTTAATTGATAAGAATATATTTTCACTTTTCTGGTTTAACTGAGCTGGGTTGTTTGGTATGAAGAAGTCTCTGGGGAGACATTCTAGCAGCCTTCCAGTACCTAAAGGGGTCCTACAAGAAAGTTGGAGGGGGACTTTTTACAAGGGCATATAGTGATAGGACAAGGGGGAATGGCTTTAAAAAGGGTAGATTTAGATTAGACATTAAGGAAGAAGTTCTTCACTATGAGGAGGATGAAGCACTGGCACAGGCTGCCCAGAGAAGCTGTGGCTGTCTGTCCTGGTTTAAGCCCAGCTGGCAATTCAGCCACACAGCTGCTTGCTCACTCCCCCCCCCCCTCCTGGAGGGATGGGGAGGAGAATCGAAAGAATGTAACTCCCACGGGTTGAGATAAGAACAGTCCAGTAACTAAGGTATAACCCAAATCACTACTGCTACCACCAGTAATAATAATGATAAGGGAAATAACAGGGGAAGAGAATACAACCATTCACCACACACCAACCAATACCCAGCCTGATCCGAGCAGTGATCTAGCCCTTCCAAGTAACTGTCCTGACTTTATATACTGGGCATGACGTGCTGTGGTATGGAACGCCTCTTTGGTCAGTTCGGGTCAGGTGTCCTGTGTCTGCTTCTTCCCAGCTTCCCCTCCTCGCTGGCAGAGCATGAGACTGAGAAAGTCCTTGGTCAGAGTAAACATTACTGAGCAGTAACTAAAACCATTGGTGTTATCAGCACTGTCAAAAACACAGCGCTGCACTAGCTACTAAGAAGGAGAAAAATTACTGCTACTGCTGAACCCAGGACACTGGCCCATCCCTGGCACTGTTCGAGGCCAGACTGGATGGGGCTTTGAGCAGGTCCTGGTCTAACGTAAGGTGTTCCTGCCCATGGCAGGAGGGTTGGAACTGGATGAGCTTTAAGGTCCCTTCCAACCCAAACCAGTCTATGATGATTCTATGAATTCTGCCTTCTTTCAGCAGAAATCTGGCAGACTTTTTTCTCCCAATGGGTTCAGAAAAGATCTTAAAATTTTAATGCCTATTTCTCACAGTCTTTCAATCAAAGTTTTAGCAATTTTAAATAATTTTACACTGAGCTTGGTACTATTAATAGCAGAGGAGTTTTTATATTTGTTTTAAATCTAAATCACTAATCTATCATCCAATAATACAAATATGATTCTACTTGGCCTATACACCAAAAAGGATGCTACTGCTGAGTTCAGTGACAGGCAGAATTACTAAGAAAACTCTTTCCAGCTTTCCTGCTAGCTTGATAGCACTAAAGAGGAAAAAGAACTACATCACCAACTGGTGACTTAATTCCATAGGGGCTACACCTCCAGACAACACTTATTTTCAGTGTTCCACAAGAAATGCTTGGAGACAGAATGTAGCATAAGAGGAATTTGTACAACTTATAGAGTAAATATATGTCAACGGCAGCTACGTTCCAGTCTATCAGTGTTGACTGCTGTGTCACTTACAAACAAGAAATGAAGCCATACCTACATGATTTATAAGCAAGCTGTAACACTGGCCCTACAGTTGCCATCCTTAGTGCAAGAGACAACATACAGTAAGGCAGTTCCTCTGATTTAAAAAATAAACTATTTATGTTCAGCATCAATGCCACTGCTAAAACTTAGGACAGAACTTTACCAGCAGCACCAGTCTGAGCTACATTCACCCTCAATGACAAATACAATAAATATGACAGTTGGAATTGCCAGTTAAAAGACCATGTCTTTCAAAAAGGTATAGCAGCCATTCCAACAGCAGCGTATCTCCTTGTTTCCTTTCTAATAACAGCTACTGACCTAGCTCAGGACCGCTTATTTGCACGACGTGTGAAGTCAGGCAGGTATGCGAGATGCAATGTTTACAATATCAGCTTAATACACTTAATATCTTAATACTAGGCCCCAATATAAAAAAAAAAAAAAAGTATCTTTTAGCTATCACATTTCAGGGGAAACAAACACGTGAACAAGCAGCCAAGCACTTCCTGTGTTTGGTGACTACTACAGACACACAGTAGCTAATGTGTGTAATACACAGTGCCAGTGACAGAAAAAGCTCATTTTTCCTTCGCTGCTCCTCAAGAGAGCATCACCTGATTTAAAAAGCTGTCCATCCAAAGACACAAATGTCTATAAACTGAGTGAAAGAATCTACATCCCACTCCCTCATTTCTATTGCCAACATTCAGTCGTTCATTAATTAGCAGGGGATTGTTTTCTAGCTTTATGACTTACAGAGTTCCTTAAATTCTTCCATCCTTAGAAAGAAACTGAAGTACAGTGTCTTTTACAAGAAGAAATGAGAACAGAAGGGCAGCAACATGGTAAATGCATATAGAACTCTCAAATTCTTGAGACATGCAAGGAATACATATTTGGTTTATCTCCCACATCTATAATATCCATCTGTTTCAAAACAAGGAACTGCAAGATTTTCTGATGAAAGTGTGTTGTTCATGTTCGCACCCTCTCTTTCAGCAGATACAACATTTCCTGTGGTCATGACCTGCTCTAAAGATGACAGGGAAGCTGCTGATTTCCTCAGGACTGTCAGTTCTCTGTGACTCAGGGTTAGGGGAATGGGACACCCAGAGCTTCCCCAGCCAGGTGCTCACCAGGGCAAGGAAGACTTGACCTTTCCCTGGCATTAGGAGCTTGAACTTTTCTCTCTGGGCTACTGCCAAGTGGCCACACGTTATTTATGGGGTAGTCTGCCCGCACCAAGTTGCTTGTTTGGGTCAGCACTGCAGACTGTAAAGCAAACACAGGGAACACATAATCTGAAATATTAGACCAAGAGGTTGGAGGCAGCAGAGATTTTATTTCTGAACATTGGTTCTCTTGGGAACTCTGAGCCCAAGAGCATTTTTCCACACATAAATGTGTGTTTAGTGTAACACAGTCAGTTCTTTGAGCGCTGCCTGGTAATGTTACTCAAAATAGCCTGCAGTCCGACGGGGCGGAGCTCAGAGTTACTCCTTCCAGGTAGTATAAAAACCTCTGGGGCATGCATCTGCCCACAGGAACCCTCCAGTGCCTTCTGTCACAGCAGGTACCTGCAACAGCTGTCCAGCTAAGGTGTGTGATGTGCCTTTGTGTTCTCTGCTGACTAGCAACAGAAATAACATTTGTCTGAATTCTTGTATTCCAGGTCAGCTCTTGCTAGCCAGTGAAACCCGGCTTACCTAACCCCTGCTGTTTGTGAGGAGAGAGTGTCACTGCTGGTTTTCATTATGTGGATGCATTTACCTTGGGGACTCAATTAGCATATGGGTTTATTATAGTGATGTTCCTAGCACTGACATTTCCTTTACTTCGTAGCATTTATATTATTATTTGTTTGTTTAGCGCATGATGAGAAAATTGTGTGAGCTCTAGGAAACATGGATATTAGTGCGTGGTATGAGTGTATAGCTAACCCTATCTCGTAAAGCATATGCTGCAATTGCATTTCCCATGTGAGCAAATGGAATTGGCTTTTGCCCAAATAATTCAGACTAGAACGGACTACGCTGTGCAACTTTGTGCGGAGGTGAGAGAAACACATTTCAGCAGAGCTGTGCTGACAGCTGGAGACCCAGTGACACAGTACTGCTCGCTAACCTACTTTTCTTTTGGACATGTAGCTAGATGTGAAAAGCTCTCTCCAAGCAATGGATTATGGAAGTTCAAGTGCACAAAGTTTATTCTTCTAGGGGATAAATCATTACCTTAAAATTTATCATCACCTTACAATTTGCCATTCAGTGTTTAATTGTGTTGTTAGTTTTATGTGGCATTATTAAGTTGACATAATTTTGTGAATTATTCTTTCTTCCTTAGGTTCTGAAGAATCAAATGTGATTTAGTACGTTATTTTATTCACAATAGTTTAAGACTACTAATGAAGTCAATACTGGTTTAAAAATTTTGGAAAGCATAGAATTTAGATTATTATTTCCCATCAGGACAGTTTTGGAAAGAAGGCAGCTGCTAACATTCATAAAGAGTCAACATTTTATAAGGGAACAGATTTTGGCTGCAATATTATTCAATCAAAATCCTTTTAGAGGTATAGCATTTGCAGTAAAATATGGATCAGAAAAATGTCAAAATAGTAAGAAACGTCAGGTTTTTTAATTCTAGAAGCACAGCAGCAACTTGACCATGTTACACATAATGCAAATACTACCTATTTGCAAATAGCTCTCTCAGTATTCACTTGGGTCTGTAGTCTTCAGGTGCGGTTTGTCATTTAAAATGATAAAGCTGTGCATCATTAAGGCCAAGATACTAACAAGATACTTGAATTCTTGAAATTATAACATTAAACATGTCCAGTAACTTAATTACATTTTATAAAAATAATTTAACAGTTATGGTGGTAGGATATATATAAATATATATATATATCAAATTGTTTAGCAAATGCTACACCTGTGAGAAGATAATGATATTACTACAGCACCTAGAAGCCCCAGCTTCTAGATGCAGTGGTGTTGGAACCAGATGATCTTTAAGGTACACCTTCTGACCCAAACCATTCTATGATTTTAAGAAGGGATTTAATAAAACCAGCAAAGTGCCTTTATAAATATTTAAGCAGACTCCTATTTTAGAGAAGCTCAAAGGACAAACCAGGAGAAAGCATGTTTTTAATTTGAATTTAACAGTCAGTCTGTACTGAGTGATCATAGAGTATATATCTTGTTATCAGCAATGCAATTATATTTATTGCAAGTACATAACAGTGGATCAACAAGTGTATATTTATTAAGCGTGTTTCCAAGCTATTTCCTGGTAGTCACTGGTGCTCACAGCCAACTGAAATTTTGACAGAACTTGTCTAAGCAAGGAATAAAATGCAGAAGTATAGCTTTCTACTCAGACTCAGAGTTTACTCACTACACAAGCCCTTCTGGTTTTTAACATGAAACAGTACCAGAGACAAGGCAAAGTTTCCTCCTGCTATGTGATTTCAGGATTGTCTTTCCACCTAAACAGCACAAGTTTCATGCTACAAGAGCCTTACCAAAAAAACAGGAGCCCAACCAGCCAACCCCAAACCCCCAAATCTGAAAATGTGCTTTGCATGTTTAAACATGAGACGTTCAGAAGACTGGGCCTTCAAGCAACTGTTTTCTGGCTGTAGCCGTCACCAGTTCTGACAGATTCGTCTCTTTCCATTACTCACCTTCCCAGTTCCACAGGTCTTGATGTATTTTCCTAGAGATTTCCTTAATCATTGAAACACAACCAGATTTTACTCCAGCTCAAGGCATAAAAAAGAGGCATTGCTGAAAACTGGAAGTATACTTTTGATTACCACTGCTGTTGTAAGGAGGCACATTTTCATGTGTGAGACACAAACAGATGCATTCACTCAGATGTCAGGTAACTGCAGCATTAACTTAAGTCTCTTATCTACTGTCATGATACCTCAAATAGCCAGAGATGCATAGCCAGAACTTGTTACTAGCAAGCTAGAGGCCTTCTTAGGAAAAAGAAGTACCTAAAAAAAAAAAATACATCTGCCAAAATCTATTTACTTCGGAGCACTCTCTTTTCTGAAACACTACAAAGCCACTGTCATGACTGAACAAATGCTTCAGGAGGAGTTAGAACACAAATCCTGTCCTTGCAAATAAATCCTGTCCTTATTCACCAATAAGGAATGTATCAGGTATCAGTAAAACTGCAATGGTGTCAATACCGTATCTACAAATAAACCACCCACACAAGTCAGCATTCACTCTTGCTCCTTAAAAAGCTACCTGTGGGCACTGCTGAACCTTCTGGCTGCTACCAAACCTCTCTCCCTTCTGGCCACGATATCCAGAACAGCTTCCTACATGATGCAACCCAAATCATACAACGTTTTGGCTGCAGTGCATGTGGCTGGAGAGAGCAAACAAATGCATGTTCTCAAGAATGAGCAGGGTAAGGCAAATCATGGATAAAACCGGCACACTCCAGCCATCATGATATGTGGCAAGAGCAAATCTGTACAGCCTCTGGCCAGAGCAAGTTACGAACCATTTTTTGACCCTATTTATACATACATACCTGTGTATGTATCTACACATAATCTCAGGTGCTATCACTGAAGAAAACTCCAGTTATACTAGAAGTTTCACTGGCATATTTCTCCTCAGGCAAATTCAGACCGAGCCCTACTCCTGCTTTTACTGCTTGTTAGCAGTGTCAAACAGTTCCTTCTTTGGTTGGGTGCTGTACACCCTGCACACCGGAGATGCAGTCATTTGTAACAAGAGTTCTCCAAAAAAAGCTTACCGATTCAAACTTCTCACTGCAATCTGCATGTTCTGCAGTTCAGTACATTTCAGGGTAATTCAATTAGCTGTCCTGCAGGAAACAGGCAGAAAAAACAATTCTACACAAGGAGACAAAATAAAGAGCACTGGCTGCAGCAAAAGAACCAGTTTTATCACAGGAATGTCAAGTCCTGAGTTCTTTGAGAAATGGTAAATCACATATATAAGGTCATGGATGTTAAAGGACTGCTCATCTTTCTCGGCTATTGCTTCAACTGATAGAAGTACCATGCATGTAGCTCATGTTTCAGACTGATGAGTGGCACCAATTCAGTGACATAATGCTAAAATGTTGTATAAATGGTAAACTAAACATGATGAACATGATAAAACTCCTGACAGTATAACTACACTGCAGAAAGTGCTTGCAGCAAATTCCAGTCGAGTGGGGATGTCACCTCCCATCATTGAAGAAGCCCCAAAGCAAAGCCCACCCGAAGCACTCATTGTCTGCTTCTAGTTATACCTCATAAAAAGAGAGTGCCTGTAACTCTCACAACATTTTCTCCATTCCATTTCAGCTTTTTTGCCATGATATCTGCACAGCAGCCACCATTCCCCAGCACAATTCAAAGAGTAATGGACTACCCAACTGAGGAAGAAGAAACTTGTGAAGAGCAGTATGGTTCTGAAAACTGCACTTGCAGCTCCAACCATGCATCATCAACAGCAGAATCTGACTCAGGTTTAATCCAATTTAAATATTGCAATTGCTGTAACATGCTAGCATTTCGTACTTTAATTATTCTCTTTTCAAACAGGAGATGTCACCATGTCACTCTTCCTTTTGATGTCTTATCATTTTTCCCACCGTTTCCCCTTCTTTGACGTTAATCATCTGTGCATATTCTAACAGGCTTCCATGAACAGCACAGTCGTTCAGAACCATGTCCTTGTTTTCAGTGAGATCAGACAGAGCAGTTCAGCAGGGCTGGAGAACTGACTTGCTGAGCAACACTGTATATGTCAATGTATCCTTGCAGTATCTTACAGCCCTTCTTTTATGGAAGAATAAATAACCACAAAAAGGAGCTCCCCCCCCCCCCCCAATGTAAGAAGAAAACCTTAATTCCTTTTTACAAAAGAAATTTCATGTTTTAGATGAAAACTACAAGTACAACCCCTGCATGGCATACTCTGGCATAGTATTAACACTCCAAAAATACAGGCTAATTTAGTCCTGAAAGTCTTTTAGTAGTTGTTAGCAGATTTATGTATTTGAATCAGTGTATCTTTTCTAAAAGCTTCATTTCTACCTATAAATTGCCCATACAAACACTCAGAATGGCAGGAAATGACCGTTTCTCTTTTCAGTCTCCGGCCAGACAGACCATCCACTTCTGGACAACAACCAGTCTCAAGGCCAATGGCCTAACATGTTTCCTAGCCCATGTGCCTATGTATTATTTTTATCTTTAACAAGCTCCATACCAACACCTGCATGTAACAATACAGATTTCATCTTTTCTCTCACAGATTCACCAGTAACTCTTAAAATACTACAGAGCTGGGCTCCTCAGATTTCGCACTACTTCGATAAAGCGCACTACACGTATGTTGGCCACCAGATCATCATTCAGGAGTCCATAGAACATTTTGGAGCTGTGGTATGGCCAGGGGTAAGTACGTGACACAGAACCCAGAAAGCTGACACAACGGAAGAGGAGTAAACCATGACAGTGGCACACAAACGTTAATGAAGCTTTCTTGAGAGGACACTTTGGACAGCAGAGGTTTCCCTATGCAGAACACAATTGTGAGGAAATTCAGCAGAAAGCTCTGCCTTATGCTAATTTGCCAGCTCATGCCAAAAATACTGTGGCACCCAAATATTTGTGAGTTGGATGCAGATACTGAAAAAAATAATAAAGAAAGGGAACCTGGGAAAAAGTGTTCAGCTTTCTCCTTGTTTTCAATTCACTGCTGTGAAGTAAACAATCAGCAGTACAAAAAGGAAGCTAAAAAAGAAAACAGATTAAATAAAGGAGGTTAAAAAATTAAATACACTTCTTCTAAAGAGCAGGCTGGAACAGTTCCATTACAGCAGGAAAACTGTACTTGCAAACAGTTCTTCAGTCTTTGCTTCTCCTGCTCTTAAAACCAGACTTTTATGTGAACTGAGAACACTGCCTTTGGGGGAAACAAAGGTAAACTGATAAAGACATGAAAATTAGGATTTCAAAAGTTTTCAGATCCACATTTATTGAAAAAGCTCACAGAAAATGGCAGACAATTTCAAAACAATAGAGAAAAGAAAGCGTAAGGGCGAGTGAAACAGTATCACATTTTGAAGTGTCAGATCATCAGTTCTCACATTAATCAGGTGTCAGAATGCAAATGGTAAAACTTTCCAAGAAAACAGAGGTTGCACGAAGTTGCCTGGTGGTTCATTAGCTGTCAGCTTCCCAGAACAGGTAGCCAGTGTTGCATTATGAAAAGCACAAGAGTTAAAACAGTAACACAACTCTAAAGAAGGGAAGCGCAAAGGGGTGAAGGTAGTTTCCTTGGCATTACTTTATGTTGTTCATTAAAAGCCAATTAATATTCTATTGATAAGATTTTTACAAAGGTCTGATAAGCAATACTCACATAAAGTGCTGGTTTTTGGTATTTGGCTTTTTGATTTTTAAAGCTTACACCATTACCAATAGGCCAGTGTTGAGTTGGTAGATAAGAAATTTTTTACATTTCCTTTGCAAAAGAAAAAAAAAAAAATTGTTCTCAGAAAAAGTTCTCAAAAAATCTCTGCTGAAGCCTGACTCTACTTTATCATAGAGATAATAAACAATAACATTTATGATAATAAACCAGAACATTACATTTTAGATATCGTTGAACCTCCTGTGCTGTTCTGACTGCACGGTTCTCACCTAAACACTGCCTACCTTAGGCTGTGAGAGGACTCACAGTGTATAAGTCTGTGTAGCAAATCCATATTCCATAAACCTAAACCTAAAAATAAGCTGTTTATATTTTTTAATATAAAAAAACCCAGGACACATCATAATTCTTTCCATTTTACATTTTTACTTTGCAGCCGTTTTAGTGTTTTTCATTGTATATAAAAAAAACAAACCAAAACAATAAACCCTGTATAAAAACATCTGCTGAATTTCTATGCAACTTACCTGTTACCCTCATATGGATATGTGTTAACTGTTTTAGGCACTGGCTTTATCTCAGTATCTGGAATCAAATCAAGAACAATTCAACCTCAAAGACAAAAAAGTTTTGGAAATTGGTGCTGGAACAGGCTTAGTTTCCATTGTGGCCTGTATCTTAGGTTAGTAAATTCGTATTTCCTTTTGCATTTCTTGTGAAAGATGATCTAGATCTGCCACTGTCTCTTTAAGGCAATAAAGTAAGTTTTAGTAAACTTTGTCATTGCTTTTTTAGAAATGAAAAGTACTTTAAAATACTGTTTTGTTAAGAAAGAAACTACCCTAATTATTGGTGAGGGGGAAGCTGGGGAACTTATGCAGATAGTTTTATATATGTTTATGTTCAACTGCGTACCTGTGAACTGAAACAAATTCATGTTTTCTTCAGGAGCTTACGTTACGGCTACTGATTTGCCTGAAGTTCTTGAAAATCTCTCATATAATATTTCAAAAAATACACAAAACATGAATATACACAAACCTGAAGTGAGAAAACTGGTATGGGGAGAAGGCCTCAATGAAGACTTTCCTCTATCCACTTGCCATTATGATTTCATACTGGCAAGTGATGTTGTATATCACCATGCAGCTCTGGAAGCCCTGCTAGCAACAATGGTGTATTTTTGTAAGCCAGGAACAGTATTACTATGGGCAAATAAATTCAGATTCACTGCAGACTATGAATTTTTGGAAAAACTCGGCAATATATTTAACACAACGATTCTAGCAGAATTTCCAGAATCAGATGTCAAGCTGCTTAAAGTTACAGTAAGAGAGAATTAAAGAGAAAACTATTCCTAAGTTTGATTTAGTGGCAGAACATCAGTTTGGAATGCTTTGCAGCATTAGGGTGCACCTTCTGTGCATTTATGTTTGTAAAGCTGCAATTGTATCCAAGTGTTGCATTTTAAGTAGTGAAAAAAACTGGCATGACAAATGATAAAGCAGTTTGTCTCTGGCTGATACATGTGACTTGTTCAAACAGACCAATTTCACTCCACTGAAGGAACAGTGTTAGTAGCAACCGTTAGTAAAGTCTTTAACAGAAAGCATTGATCTTCTGGGATGCACTGAACTTCAGTTGTTTGTAAGGTGTTTTCTTTCAGCAAGTTCCATTTATGTACTCTTTCAGAAACCAATGCAATTTATAGCTTTATAATTTGTTTTTATTAATTATAAAATAATCTTTTAAAGTATCAGAGCGGACATGGTGTTTCTTGATCTTCAGCTTTGCACATTTATTCTGCTGTGGTTTACATTTTAAACAATATTAAACATATACGTATAGCTTTACAATACCTGATCAAGATTTAACTGTCTGGCACGTTTATACACGTATCAGCCTGTACTGATACCCTGCTTCATGTGGATTTTTGAGTTTGCCTGAAATCACTCCAAAATGAAGATTTACAAGAGCACCTATGCATCAGCAATTCCGAGTGACACACTGTAAGTTTGAGAGGTTGAATTTTTCTTAAAAAAAAAAAAAATTATATGTAAACTCTTGCAAACAATCCAGGTAATGAAGTCCCATTACTTTAATCTAATAAATAAGATATTAGCTACTCCTGAAGTAGCTTTAAGGCCTTCATACAATCGAAATTAAGATCAAACACGTTAAAATTCAGTTTACTGTAAAAAATATGGAGCTTTTGCAGGTTTGAAGTTAAAAGTAACGGTTAAGAACCAAATATGCATGCAGTAAGCCTTTCCAGCCTAATTCCAAATCCTTAAGTGTTGGCAGTTCTGGCATGTCCATTGCCAGCAATGGGATGCACAATAAGGAAACTTCCTGATGACAGGAGTTAGGTTAACCGGCATTAAGCTGTACCCAGGTGCCTCTACTGGTAAATACACACAATTTAATAATCAGCATTCAGTAATGAAAACATGCGTTCCAATAAAAAGTCAAACTTATCCTTTAATATCCTGACCCATATAAAATCACTTTAAGTTTACAATTGTTGGTTTTCTAGAATACACAGTAATCAGGTGGATACATGACAGGAAGCCAATTCTCAGTGAAATTTGCACAATGAGTCCATCCAAGCAACTTCATTAGCTGAAGAAAAAAAAAAAGGAAATGTTAAAAACAATGAGAAGCTCTAGGGTCTTACTCTGTTTAAAATCAAGCACTGCATTGAAATCAACATCTTACTAAATATGTCTATTATCAGAAAGCTAACAGGCTGGAGAACTGGTGATCTCCTACTTACTTGCTCCTGAAAGGGGAAAACCATTTTATATGATCTGCAGTCTTCCAACTCAACACACAAAAATTTTGTCCCAAGGCTTACAGTAATTCCCATTGTTTCTCTACCTATGTTCTATTAGCAATAATTGTGATTAATAGTAGTAAAAATAACAGTGGTTAAACCAGCAACATAATGGGATTTTAAATATGCAGAAAATCTTTGGCTAAGTTGTCTCTACTGTCTTTTATGCCCCAAAGCAGGTTTGAGAATGTAAATCTACTAAAAAATGACAGTTACTCACAAAGTAGCTATTCCAGAAAAAGAAAGAAGAAATCATTATTAAAAATGGAGGCCAAGCCACTAAAGCCTGGATAAAGTTAAAATTTAAAGCTGTATTTAGTGAGTTCTGCAGTGTACCAAAAATTCAGAAAGACTCGTATCTTACTTTTAAAAGCTTAAGCAGCATGAATATAGTGCATTCCTTTACCAAATATACCTTACCTGGATGCAGTTTTTCAAGTTGTCCTTTGTTGGCTTCTCTTCTGCAAGTTTTGTGGCAAACTTGAGACCTCTCCCATACATTTTATTTACCAATGCATGCTTATACGCAAAAGTCAAAACCTACAATGTGAAAACAAAAATAAATCAGATACTTCAATATTTTAATCTTAGCAGGCTTAACAAGTAATAGCAGATTCTGTTCAGGTAGCAGAAGTGATTTAAACAAAGTACAACACACAAGATAGTTTGCCTTTTTTTGTTTTTGCAGTAAAACAGACAGTTCACAGGAGTAATTATAAACATGAACTTTCTAGAGACTATTTCTGACTTCATGAACATATTTGACTTCAGAACATCTTATGTAACACAGATGTCAGTATTCTAATTCTTTATTCACCACATTTATACCTTCTCTGGATTTTCATTCTCTAGATGCAACTGTACGGTATCAAAGAAATAAAGAAAGTATCAAGAACCAAGCAGGTATATCTTTGACCCACAGAAACAGACCCAGCTGAGAAGTTCGATTCCTAGTAAGCCACAAACTTACTCTAGAAACAAGTATGAACATACATAGTGAATGATACATACATACACACAGAGCAATGCACATAATTATAAACAAGCAATGAAGACAAGTAAGCATGAAGACAAGCCTCAAGTCTGGGGTCAGCTCCTCGCTACTGGTAATTTATTAAGAAGAGATTATAAAAAGCTTCCTTTTGATAACACTAATTCTAGAGACAGCTTACAATATTAATCAATACTATAATTAACACATGCAAATAAATGTGTCTATTTAAGACCTAATGTAAAATAAATCGGGCTCTTAACACCCAAGCACTGACAGCATTCAGGAGGTTGCAAGGTAGTTCATACCACCTCACCAGTTACAGCACTAAGAATTAGTGCAATCAAGACATGGTTTCATATATTCCCTTTGGAACAGTCATGTTCCACTGTCCAAAAACAGGACAAACACTCATAGTAAATAAAGGGGGTTTTATTTTTTTACTGAAGAGCGACATACCAGCAAAGTTGGTTAACATGGTGGTGTTTCTGTTGTTGGCAAAGTTTACGAAATCTCGTATTAGTTTGCTATTCATTTCCCCTCACTCTTTATATCATTTTCCTATCCTATGACTCTGCAAACAAGAGTTACATTTTCCCAATGTCCACTTAAAATATCCCTTCAAGAAAAGCTAACAAACACACTTCAAGGATGCTCAGAAATAAATATTTTACATTAAAACAAAGAAAAAAAAGAAACAATCATAAGAACCTAAAACATTAAGGAATCTGAGATCTGAATCCCGCAAGGACTGAAGAACCTGCCTAATTTTATCTGCCTGAACACTGCCACTGAATGTCAATCACAAGCACAAGGCTTTGCAGGATCAAACTGAGCTAGCAAAAAACAAATCAAAACCAGAAATAATTTACTAATTATCAAACAAATAAAGATGTAATTCTGAAGCTCTGAAGTATATGCCAAGCACTTTGAGTTGCTCACTCTTCTTATGTCTTCAAGTACTTTTTTTGTTGTGTTGAGGTGTTCATACTTAAGGTGTCATAGCTTAAAACACAGACATATGCAACAATGAGCATACAGCACCATTCACATAGAGATTTTCCAAATATTGCTATTGGAAAAATACTTCGCATGCTGCATTCTCCATCCAATTATTTTGGATATTTTCTTAAAGCAAAACACATTAGCAAACACTTTTGAATAACTGGTCAGTGGATCCATAAGCAGCTTTAGTTCGTTAAACTAAGCTTATAAAGAAAACGATAATTCCCTTCTATAAAAGATGATAGAATCACAAAACAAAAACATAACAAATAAAAAGTAAAATGAAAAATGCATCTGAGCTCTCAGCAAGTATAACATATTGGAGGCTATCCAAAAATAATGTCACTGCTCTATTAAGAAAGCTCTTACCTGACCCTGTAAGTTTTGAATGGTTATTGAACATCAGTGATAAAGGCAGGAGGAAAGCCACTTGACAGCATTTCTTTCGTAACAGGGCTTCCTAGAGTTTTTGTGGCAAGAAAACAAAGCATTTTACGAAACACCCTTGCTCTGGCCAAATAAAAGTTTGGGTATTTCTAAATGAGAGAAAAGTTCTCTGCTGGACCAAAAGGTTGAAAACAATGCTCCAAGAGCTCTTGATAAAAGACAACAATTTCTGTTTTAGTGCTTGGAAAAAAAAACCAACCCAATCGACTGCATACAAGTTAAGTAAAAATACTAAAGGTTCATTAGCACTTCAGAAGTTAAGAATAATGCATGAGATTCTTAATATCAGAATAGGTTTACAAACAAAATATGTGAGGTAAGAAATAATACTTTTTATCTTATACACATATTGGTCAAATTAAGCCTTAAATTAAAATACTGCAAGCTTTAAAAGACCACAGAAGTGAAGACTGTAATTCCTTGATACATGTAAACAAAATATAAACTGGAGTACTATTAAGATGTAACCAAGAAAACAGCTGCTATTTGAATGTATAATAACAGCAAGTAAAACAATCTGCAGTATCTAAAAGCACTTGCTAGATGAAAGAACAGGAATGAATTCTTAAGTATTTGGTGTTATTTCATAATCTCAATAAATATAATTAAGACTAGCTTTTACAGGACAAGTGATATGGCTCAGAAATTGGCCAAAGAGCGATAAACAAAGGGTTGTAAGAAAAGGTAATGCGTACTTCAAGGATACTGGCAAGGCGGTGGGAATCAGTGATGGATATTTTATTGCCCAAGGCAATGGCCTGCAATGCTAAGAGTGTGAAGAACCAGACCCATGGAAGATGTTGGATGTCCATGTCCTACATAGCTGCTTAACTTGCCGTTGGCTACAGAAAGATGCATAGTTAGGTCAGTAAAATGCTGAAAGCATCTCTCCTCAGACATTTGCCATTTGCAGGGCCAAAGTATTCAGAAGCCTGAAACCGCTTTTTGAATCCAGCAACACTAAACTACCTAATTAAACTTTTCTAGTATCCCAATACTGTTACCTATTGAGAGGAAAAAAAGACTTGTATAATCAGTTACTTTATTATTTCAATAGTTGTTCAAAATATATCTACGTTTATAAATAATTAAAATACTAGTAACAGGAAATTTTTTTTTCAGGTTTAATACATCTATGGTAATAAACTAAGGTTTCTTAGCTACGGTTGTTGGCTTTTCTCTGCTCTATCAACTAGACTACTATAAATAAAAGCAACATTCGTATAAAAAAGTTGACTCATATTTTCAAGAGAGGGAGAGGAGTTAAGGGAATCAAGTACTGAACAAAATTTTGGCAGTGACTGAATACGATCAGCTGGAAAAGACAGCTGCATCTGACAGTGCAAACAGCAATATGAAAATCAATCCAGCCAAAGATGTTTAACAGGAAAGATAGAAAGGTTCAGGCTTTTCATTTGTTTTTTAAATGTAGTTTTAGATGCGACTTTTTGCTTTTCAGTTAATTTAAAAGTTGAAGGGCATTAAATTCTACAGATGAGACATTCCCAGTAACAAACAGGCAATATCCTACTACTCTCCTGCAGCAGTTCTGTTTAAGCCTGGGGATTTGGGCCTACACATTTTAAAGCTATGTTCCAGGTGTAAGAAAAATTGCACATCTTATGTTCCATTACTAAAACCCCTAAAGCACTGTAACAAATGTGTTAGCATAATCAGACAAACACTTGCTACGTAAAGATGCCTCAAATGGACTTTATTTGAACCACTTTGGTGTATGCAGGAGACATGTTTTCTTTCATGTTTCACTCAAAATAAATCTTCAGAGACAAGTGATCTAATTAGGATAGCTGAAAATGGGAACAAATGCAATCACTATCAAAGGTCAGCACCAGCTTTCCGACATACCTGCTGCAATATGGGAACAAGCATGATATTTCAATGGAAAACTGGCAATGCAAACTAACAAATGCCCTGTGGCAACACAGGTACTATGTCTGCAGAAGAGAGGTGAAACAAGTGATACTACTTGTTTACTAGATGGTGGGCAGAAACGCACAGAGAAGTGATGAAGTTCCTGATTCATCTTCGAAAACATAGAAGAAAACATGGTCTCTGTTTTAAAAAATTTACTTGACCTTTTAATTATTGGCATCTGGATGATCTGAGACTTACAGAAAACTTAGAGGTAAAAAAACTTAAAGTAATGTTTCTATCTAAAGCCATATATACTAGAATGATCACTGCAGTATTCAGGTGCCTTATTTCCATCCTTTCTCAACCAGTTGCTCCATCTTTCAAGTGCCAATGCCACAAAACCATGTTCACATACAGGAAGACCTCCACATTTTTGCTTCCAACATTATGTTTTAGAATAAGTTGGCTGCCTCTTCATGACTCATTTGAAGGACATTCACATGAGGTCTATCCCAGATCCTGCATCACTACTCCACTCTACCCTTCCTCCTTCCAAATTTCTTCTATTCCCCCCAAAGGCAATGAGTCATGCAAGGTTAGGTGATAAAGCCATGTCACAACACTTCATTTTATCAGTCCAGCCTAAGTCAGCCCATAGTAGCATCACAAAAAGGCTGTTAAAGCCATAATTTCTTATTTCCTACTAAGGTGAATTTTGCCAGGCACAAGCAAGTCAGCTGGACTGAGAAACTTTTACCCTTACCCTAGCAAAAATACTCATTTCTTAGACAGAATCTGTTTTGAAACCTTAAACATGACATTGTTCATTAAACTTCCCATCTCAAAGGAAGCAAGCTACACAAACAGTCTGGTTTCCCTTAAATGGGGGAATTCCAAATTTTCCTCTAACAGTCTGTGAAATAAAGTTACTTCCACTAAGCTATTCAATTTGCTTTTAAAATAGCAAAATACTCCAGAAATACAACAGCATACTGCATGTAACACCAAGGTGAAGGTTTATACAACTGTTTCTTCCAAAAAGACAGAAGAAGCTGCAAAGGAAGACTACCAATGGCCACTGCAGATATTTAAAACATCCCACTGGCCCATCATGTAAGGCAGAAAACACTTCTATCATTATCACCAGCTCCTAAGAAAACTACTAGATGGACATGACAAATATTAGTAAAGGAAATGAAAAAATATGAACAGCAGCAAGCATGAAACTTCTAGGAAGCAATAAAGAAAAAACAAAAGTTTTTTTCCCCACAAATTTGCTATCAGCAAAAAAAATCATTACAGTGCTCTATCATCTCCTTTCAAAGCAAAATTCTCAAACCCATCACAGCCCAAGCCACATGCTCCTCACTCCTCATCCCTTTCAAAAAGTTTTCAGAGGAAGAAAACCTCAAAGTATAAAAATGAACAACTAAAGTCTCAGCTCCATTAATAACATGAAAGCTTTAAGTAGCAGCATGTATTTCTTTCCTTTCAAACTTTCTTATTTTTTAGTTAGGTACTGCTGGAATTCAAATTACTGAACAATACCAAGGGAGAGGTGAGGTGCCTAAAACTGATAGCAGTCTTGTTTCTGTGTGGTCACATCTGGCCTGTACTGCTACAACAGCAGAAAGTTTATTAGCATGCCCTTTTGATCTGATGGCCTCACATAATTAAATAGGCATGGAGAACAGATCTGTGGCTGATGGAGGTCTGGTGTTGGCAATCTGGAAGCAGATGAAACTCAAAAATCAGCAAGACATTTGTGCTGGTTTTGGTTGGGATAGATTTAATTTTCTTCATTGTAGCCTGTATGTATGTTATGGATTTGCAATGAAAACACTGTTGATCACACAAAGCGGTATTTTAGCTGTTGCTGAGCAGTGCTTACATGGAATGAAGGCATTCTCTGCTCTGCAATCCACTAGTGAACAGGCTACGGCTGCACAAGTTGCTGAGAAGGGATGCACCCAGCACCAAAGGGATATCCCATGAGACATCATGTTCAGCAATAAAAGAAATGTGGAAGGAGGAAGGGGGGGATGTTCAGAGTTAAGGTAGAGCTACTTCCAAGGAACCATTACTTGTGGTGGACCATGCTGTCTTGGAGACAGCTGAACTTCTGCCTGCCAATGGGAAGTAGTGAATGAACTCCCTGCTTTTGTTTTGTTTGTGCATTCAGGTTTTACTTTACCTATTAGATTGAGAAATCTCATGGGTCGAGATAAAGACAGTTTTATGTTTCCAGTTCTCCTTCCTGCTGCAGGGGAGAGAGAAAGTGACTGTGTAGGGCTCCTGACGGTCAACCATTTTGTATTTCAATTTGACTAGTAAAACCAAGAGGAAAAAGCAGACAAACATACTGCATAAACAGGATGGAAGTTATTTCCACGAATGCTCCATTCCTGGCAGTGTTCAAGGCCAGGTTGGACGAGGCTTTGGGTAATATGGTTTAGAACAAGGTGTCCCTGCCCATGGCAGGGGGGTTGGAACTTGATGATCTTAAGGTCCTTTCCAACCCTAACTATTCTATGATTCTATGTGAAATGCTATAAAGACCTAAAAAGTTTTGTAGTCCTTTCAGTACCAATTCAATTACATGGAGACATCAATTTTCAGAGAAAAAAACTGAATACGCACTTAGACAAATTCATGGTTAAGGCAGCTGGAGAGACAGGTTCAATCCTTGACCTGTGCAATTCAGATCAGTTACTCATTTCAGCCCCAGAGCCCACAGCTCATGAGTGCCAGGAACCAGTATCAGTCTTAGCAGAAAACAACCTGTAACAAAGTGATAAACTCCCAACAAGATGCCTATGCTGGCTGTTTTTCCACTGAAATTATCCCTGTCAGCTTTAAAAAAAAAAAAAAAAAGAAAAAAATCAAACCAGAGGTCACTATACTGGAACACAGTACCGTATTTACAAACAGACAGCAAGAAAATCATGTGCCTGATGACATGACTGAAGCACAAAATCTGTTACCACAGGATATTATAATCAGGTAATGATTAGAAGAGATATGCTGAGAAGATGCAGGTGTACAAGAAAATATACATTAAAAGAAGTGAGAGTAACTACCATCAACTTTTTTGTTCAAGCCTCCAGCTAAAGCACAGGTTCTTACTGGGAAGATTATTTACTGCCAAGGAAATGAAGCAGTTTTCTTTAATTTCAAAGTTTGGTGTTTGTAACTATATGAAGTGCTTTGGCAATTTAACTGAATTATAAATAAACATAATGGCCACTTCACCTTCAACTAAAATAGAGCCATATGTTACAGTTAAGTACAGCAACTAATTAATACTCAATAATTCAACAGTTAAATATAAAAAGTAATAAACTCTGTAAATTAAAAGCTACATAACTAATCAATAACTAATTTACAAATGACTATTTGTAAACCCAATGGATTATTTTGTTCTTCTGGAATAGCTGTCCTGAATGAAGCAGACAAAAATTTAAATCTCAGGATTAGGAGCCCTGAAATGACAGGGAAATCTGTACTAATAAATATATAAGTGTAATTTTTTCCAAGAGTTTCTCCTTTACCTCTACAAACATTACTGACAGCAAAACATAAAACTTCTTTTGTCCATAGTGTAGAAGAGGTTACAGAATGTAGGACTGAACAGAGCAGGGCTGCTGCACACTTCTGTTGGTATACAGCTAGAACAGTGCAGGGGTTAATCAAAAATATTCCCTGAAAGGTACAGAAAGAAGCAATTCAATAAAGCAAGTAGCATTTTCATGGAAGTCTGGTACTTTTCTACACCCTTCCCTTAACCTCTATATTCACATGCATGGAGATGGGCTTACCATGGATTTGACAGGCTTGGCAAAACCTCTGTGGAAAAAGGTCATTAAGGAAGCACAATATACGGGACAGCATGAAAAAGTACAAGGGAGGAATGTATGAGGCTGTGCACACAAAGGTGGTGCATAATTCCAGAAGAAACCATCAAAAAACCCAACATGCAAAATCCAAAAATCCTGCTTTGCTCTCTTACCTTGCTGTCAAAAAGATCAGTCCATTTTGTTGTTTCCCAGAATGTCTCTGTCAAAGCTTCAGAGCAGCTCTCATGATCCTCATCTTTGCCTTCTGCATCACTGGAAGCAGCCCCTTCTTGGGCCTGCAGATGAAGAAGCTGGTCAGCCAGTGCACTTCCTTTTCGACAAAGTGCATCCACTAAAGTAGTCTTCTGTTTTTCCATTTCACTAGAAGAAAACAGCACATAAAATATTAGGTTTTTTTGCAGATACCTCATTATGAACAGAATCAGTGCTGTAGTGAGCTTAAGCTAAAATGTCTGCAGCAGTTGGCACACATAAAATGAAAATCAGCACCAAAAAAAAAATAATTAAAGCACAGCTACTTAAACTAACTAAAAAAAATTAGAGACACTATGCACTAAACAAGCTCAATCATTCTTCTAAGTCTGAAATGCCTTTGATGAGGCAAGGGCAACTCCGGATTCTAAAACTGAATAAGCCAGCATCTAGAAATACAACTTTATAGTTCCTGGCATTATAAAAAGAGAGTGAAATCCACCACTAACAGAAAGAGATACAAGTCTGTCGACTTCAAAGGAATTGCACCCATCTAAAGTACCACTGAATCTGGGTTCAATTTCAGATGTTCGATTCAACCACATGACCTAATGGGTCAACTTACCAAGAAATGGTATTAGAATGAAGTTTACTGTGTCTGAGCTTTCCTTTTATATCAGCAATTCTAGAATTACACACAAATATTCAGCATAGATAGAACCTAGTTTTAGAACTGAAACCTGGTATTTTATCTAAAATAATCAACAAGTATGCATCTCCCATTTTAACGGCCTAATTTTCCGATCTGTTGCTCTATTTATGACTAAACCAGCAGCACATCACATGCTTGAAAACCACTGGTTATTCTCCAGACTAAGGTGACTGTCAAAATACTGTCTTCCTAAGTATATATGCTGGTAATTCACAGGAAAAATCTAAACCTGAACAATGAGCCTCCAAAATACTCTGAAGTATAGTTGTCATGCTTTTCACAAATGAAAGCGGTCACTTCTTAGACTGCTGTCAATTTTGCTTTCAAATACAGATCCAAAAGGTTGCAAGGTATTATGAAAAGGCAGGTAGCATTCAAAACACATACCTCTAGATTGATGTTCTAGTGGTCCCTCGGATCTGAGATTAATCTTGATACAAAGTAGCTTAAACTTGTATAAGGCTTGATCGTTATACAAAACTGTATTTTCCTCACACATTTAAATCCTGAAAGCACCCTTGTTTATTTACTATTTCTAAGTAAAAATGTGCAGGTTTCAGTGCTCCTGCATTCTAGGGATATAAAAGACCAAATAATTTTGCAGTCAAATTTGAAATTACCTGAACCCCTAAAACTAGCACAAGTTATTCAACAAAGTTATAGTCATTCCATTTCTTATAAGCAGAGACGAAGTACATGAATTACAGAAATAGGATGCAAGAAAATTATTTACTGGGTAGGTACTTTTTTATAGTAGTTGCGTCAGGCCTGGGATCGGTCTTCATGGCAAAATATATTGCTAATGCTGTCTGATCAATATGAGAAATTACAGTATTTGCAGCTTCAACAATTTCATCAAGTCTTTTCATTCGTTCCTAGAAGAAGAATAAGAAAGGTGTTTAGCACTATGAAATCGTGGTCCTAATTTTTGAAGACAGTGACAGATGGTGGATTTAGCTGTGTTACTTCAAGGGGTTACTGTCCTCACGTGACAGAGCAATTCTGCTAGAAGAAATTACCAAACCAGTAGAGGAGTAGAATGGGATGTGTGATTGTCTCTGTAACTACCATTTAGAATAATATTGTTACAGCTGAAACCAGAAAGAAAACTTACAATGTGTCTAATTTAACAAGGAAAAATGATAAGCAAACACATTAGGTAGGCATACTCTATTTCATTTTGCTGTGGGATTAAGTAAATCCCACAGTTAGGGAGGCAGTTGTCAATCTAATTAGTAATTTCTGCTTTATAGTACTGACTATAGCTTTGGTGGGCACTCCAATACCAAACACGTAGGAAGAAAGATTCATTTGTTTAGGCTACACAGAAGTATAGAGACAAGCAAGTTTAACATGTATTAAATGACCTTTTCAGAATCCAGCTGATGAAGTCTTGCAACGTACAATGGAAGATGATTAGGAAATGCTTCCTTCAACTCATTATACATGTCAGTGGTATCCAGTCTAGAAGAGAGGAGGACATAGCATGAAAGCACAGATTCTGGCTATTTTTTTGTACAGCTGCTTCAAGCTTGCATAGTCATGACAACAGACATACTTGGTCATCCACTGTATTTTTAGATCTCTTAAAGCTTCAGCAAATTCTTCTTTTACATCTTTTTCTTTTTCCTGTTCTCTTTCTTTGTCTTTGCTGCCATTTTTACTTTTTGATGGTGACGGTATCAGATGATAGTGAACAGTAAGGACATCCTGTAGGTAGGAAGAGACACATACTGAGAGGGATACAGTACATTTTTTTTTCCTGATGCTATATAAAAGTTAAATCATAGCAAGCAACTATTCTGAGCAATGCATACACTGAGTAAGGATTCTGAAAAGATACTAGTCATTAAAAATTCAGGAACTGCTTTAAGTTTTTATTTTAAGCAATGCATGGATGTAAATATTAAAATAGCACACTGGGTGTAGAGACAAGTTGAAAATTAAGCACATTGTTGGTTCATATGATTTTAAATGATACTAGTTACAGAATCAGAAGTGTGGGGAGTTTGTTTGTTTATAAAAAAGCAAGTAACTTGGTTAAAAGGCAAAAGGAAAAAAATCAGAGATTCTATCCTACAAATCTGGCAACAAGCAAATTAATAAAGATAAAGGAATTCTAAAAAATAATACCCCAATAGGATAAAAAAACAAAAGCATGAGTCATGCCATGCTCAGGTATTTACTGAGTATTTTTTCCATGTGCCTCCTGAACTAGCTGAAGCATCCAGTCAACTGTTTTCCAGTCTGCTGCTATGGACTTTACAGTTTTACCTGCGTCTGTGCTCAAATTAAGTAGACATAACAGGAAGACATTTTTTAAACTCTATATGCTAGCATAGGAGTAGTCTGAGTTCATGCTACACTAGCCAAGAATTACCATGAGAAAATCAGCTACTGCTATTTAAAAGGAAAACCCTAACTGATCTTAGACCATGCTCTTCAGTCCATTTCCCAAAATGGCTTACATATAAATTGGCAAATAAGCCAGCATTAGATTTCAGTCATTGCTTCTAAGACATTACAATTGCTGGGGGAGGCTATTTTGTTGGGTTTGGTTTTAATGTTGAAATTTTTAAAAGAGCAAGAGAGGACACATGTCCCATTATTTTACAAACAGGATATTTCACAGAGCAGATCAGTTTAAATCCTGTACGCACTGTTACTCTGCTGCAACACTGTGCACAATACTGTGCTGCATGCCCAATTGCCATGGCAATTTAATTATTTATGCCAATTATTCAAAAACATATTTGTGGGAATGTTTCCCATACAGCAGGTTGGTGTTGCATAATGAAATGAAATCTTGTGCACAAGATGGAGTTATTCCAGGTTACTTAAATAGCGAGTAAAAAGTGACTGTTAGAAATTGCTCTGTAAACCTTGAAATAATGGACTTCAATATTACATTTCTGAAACTATTCAAGAACATTGACACAGAATAATTTTATTTGAACTTAAGCGTTCAGCAGACCGACAGCTCACTACGGGTTACTGAATACTGGTAAGAGAAAGTGACATCAATATTCCCTTAAACAATTTTTCCAGCTACTTAATATGCAATTGCAAACAAACCACAAAAATGTTTACAGATTTTTTTTAAATCCTGTTTAGGTCACTAATCTACATCAAAATATAGCTTTCACAAGAACTGTCCTTTACATACGATTCTAAAGCACAAAGTCGATGACCAGGCAGTACACCTAAGACTTCAGCAAGACCTAGGCCAGAGCATGACAGAAAGGGTTCTGGAAGCAGGCACATGTAGTGGAAAATACAAAGTCACGTATGGAGCTAAGGTAATTAGAATGCTAGAAAGCAACAATGCACTTCATTAAAGCAAGCCAAGCATTTTAAGATGCCTAAACAGTTCAGCACAAAAATTTGAATCAGTAGTATGCAGTGCTTTCTTAAAAGATGTAACCTCTATTGAGATTAATACTTTCCAAAGAAAGAAACCTGCTTTCCTAGAAATATTCTTCTAATATTTCAGGATTTTATTCTTGAAAGTTCTCTTTGATCTTACTTGGCAAGATGTTTGGAGTTATGCACCTGAACAGTCTCTGCATTCTCAAGCCTTCTCTGTATGACAAGGCTACTACTCTGGTTTAAGTTTCAAGCCAAGTGTAATCAGATTAATAAAATCCCACTTACGTGGATAACACTTTCATTTAAGAGACTAATTCTATGTAACTAAACCATCAACAGTAAAATGTCATCTCCCCATTCTCTCAGCTAGGTGTTTTTGGTCTCATCAGATTCTGCAATCATTACACGCTATGATCATTGAAAGGAAAACAATGCACTTCACATCTAGGCACCCTCCTTCTGAAAAAGAAGTTATAGGAAAAGAGGTGTATTCTCCTCTACAGACATCAAACTTCTTTCACTGGATAAATAAGGTTTAGGTGCTTATCACATTTAACTAAACTATCACAAGACCATAAGATAGACTGACATCTTTTTCTCTATTCTGTCTGTAAACACTAGCATCATTTATAGAACTTGGCAACCCCCTAGATACTAGAAGATCCCAGAATGACACTGTCATTGCCATTACAGAAACATTCATCATTAGAGGTAAAGGAGAAGAAAGGTAGTTCTTCACAATTCACAGCTTTAATCTGTTTTCTTATTCAAATTTCACTATAACTGTTCCACACCAACAGAATTGCTGGTGTACAGGATTTATATACCTATAAAAAGATATAGGGCTATAGCCAAAGGAAGGCCACGAGTGAGCATATTATCTGTTGAAAATACTACTTTAAGGAAACTTCCAAGTTAATGAGAAAGATTCCCTTTGACTATTCCAAAACAAAACAAAACAGAAACAACAACAACAACCCCCCCCCCAAAAAAAAAAGAAACAACCCCAAAACCAGTATCAAAAACTTTGGAAGCATACAGGATACGCACTTTGGTCAGCATACTCTGTGCACAGCTTGATAAGCCTCAGTGAGTTTACTTTTAACAGAACTACGAACTATATACATAACCACAGTGCCCTCCACACAATCACCTCCTAAAAGAGCTTAGTTAACAGGCAACTTAATTTTGTTCGAACATTTAGATTTCTGTCTAATGATTCAAGGTCTGGTACTTTATATAGAAAAGACACATGAACTACTGTTACTTGTACCTTTAAACATTCACAGGAAAAGTAACAACAGGAAAAAGCTCCATGAAAGAGCACATCCCAGATCTCATCTTCCATTTAATAAACACCTTGAACATCTTCACATACACAGTTGAATGCACATGTGGAATTTTTATCAATTTTAAGATGTATACAATTTGTGTAAGATTGCTCATTTTTACAGCAATACTTACTCATTTGAAAAAGAATGAAATTAATATTCATCAATATCTGCACAATGCATTTCTTGCTTGAAGCTGGAGAAAAGGATGGCTGAGAAGGAGATGAAGAAATTTTTTACCCCTTAGCCAGTTGTTACCTATTGTTCTTCAAAAGCTGCATTATTTAAAACAACAACAACTTGAAAACAAGTGGAAAAAAAAAAACCAACAGATTGCAACTGTGCTACAGAAGTTAAGCTGTTGAACATGAAAGGTATGTAGAACCAGTTTGGTTTTCACATGGTTGCTTAGCACATGCTATTACAGACCAAGGGCTCTTCTAAGAGTACATCAGCAGGCACTCTCTACTTCAGCGGGGATCAGTTCAAAGTTAAAACATCACTGAACTCTGAACTTTTGAATACTGATCCTATGATATGTATGAGATTGGATTTTTTTTTTTTTTAAGTAAAAACCCATGTCCAAGGGTTATTTTGAGTTTGGTTTGGGGTTTTTAGGTAAAATTAAGCTCTCCAGAATAGCTCTTTGAGCAGAAAATTATGGATTAGACTTTCAAATCTGTCTAGTAAAACAAAGACACCTGCTTATTCCATAGAAAGAACTCACTAACACTTTTCTCCAGTTATAAATGAATTGGTTATCTTCTTTAGAAAATTAGACTGCTATTTTCTGTCTTAACCTCAAACTATTTTCAGCTTAACTAGAGAAGCTGTTGCTGTTGAGCTGTGGGCTGGAAGAGCAGTCATGTGGATTGAAACCTGCTGAACTGCCAGGCCCAGAGGGTGGTGATCAGCAGCACAGTTGGAGGCCAGTAGCCTGTATGTACCCCAGGGGTCAATACTGGATTGAATTCTGTTCAACATCTTCATTAATGACCTGGATGATGAGGCAGAGTGAACCCTCAGCAAGTTTGCAGATGATACCAAACTGGGAGAAGTGGCTGATACAGCAGAGGGTCGTGCTGCCACGCAGAGGGTCCTTGACAGGCTGAAGAAATGGTCTGTCAGGAACCTCAACAAGTTCAACAAGGAGAACTGCAGTCTTGCACCTGGAAACAAATAAACCCATGCACTAGTACATGCTGGGGGCCACCCAGCTGGAAAGCAGCTTGGCAGGAAAGGGCCTGCATGTCCCAGTGGACATCAGCTTGTATGTAAGCCAGCAATGTGTCCTTGATGCAAAGACCGTTAAGGGTATCCTGGGCTGCATCAGACATACTACCAACAAGTAGAGGGAGGCAATCTTCCTCCTCTACACTGGGGAGGCCATACCTGGAGTACTGTGTACAGTTCTGGGCTTCCCAATATAAGAGGTACATGGATGTACTGGACAGAGTCCAGTGAAGATCCACAAAGCTGATGGACTGAAGCATCTCTCTTATAAGAAAAGGATGAGAAGGCTGGGACTGTTTAGCATAGAGAAAGCATTTGGGGGGTGGAAGGGCAGGAGGCACTTGGGGATTGATTTCCTGTATCTGTGTAAACATCTGTAGGGAAGTTGCAAAGAAAAAAGCAGACTTTTGTCAAGCAGTGCCTACTGACAGGACAAGAGTCAATGATCACTAACAGAAACAAGAGGTTCCCATGGACATCAAGAAATACTTTTTCACAGTAGGGGTGACTGAATAGTGAGCACAGGTTGCCCAGAGGTCATGGAGTCTCCACTTCTATCAGTCTTTATAAAATATACTACCTAAAGTAAAAGAAAGCACAATATAAAACACTACTGTTAATAGTCACTAACTCCTTATCTTAAGTATCTTAATACATACTTACAAAATTCTTTCTGTAAATTCTACTACCTGCTACATCATTGTATAAACTCTAGCCTCTAATAAGGTATGTTCAATTTGAGTAGAATCATAATTGAGAGACTTTTCAATCAAGTCCATCCCTCCCAAGAAAAACCTGACTACTACAGCATGTTTCTATGACTGTAATGAAGCCAGCTCTCAATTCACTAGAGTTGGTATACAGTCAGATATTCAATTCTACGAAGTGTTAGGTTTGTATTCAGTTCTCAATTTGCAGACAGAATAGAACAGGCAAAAACACCTGCCACAGAAAATCTTGACACTATACACTGAAGATTCCAAAGTGTTTCATAAAAAGAAAAATTACAGACCACTAATCACCACATGCATTTTTACAGCACTTATTGCAGAAGAATCCAGATGCTCACGTGCCTCTCAGCTTTGTGTTACAATAGTGTTTTGTCATTCTACCAACAGACATACTTAAGGTGCTGAAGTAAGTAACTCAGGACTAAGGAAGTAGATGGGGGGGACAAATTAAAAAACCAATACTGGTAGACAAATTCTGCAAGTCATATGCAAAAAGACTTAAGTATATCTTTTTCAAAAACTAACATTCAGTACCTTTTTAAATTTTCCTTGTCGCTTTGCTGCAGACTGCCCCTGGGAGTTAGAATAACATACTGTAAGAAAACATGCACACACCACACAGGATGGAGACACCTTCTCTGTACAAATACGGTTATGCTTTCAACCTACAGATTGTTAAGCTTTTAGAGAGTCACATCTATGATCAAACATGCTCTTAAGCATGCTCTTTCATTTTTTTTAAATTAATAAATCAATGCATCATTTATACAGTCCGTTATTCCTGTAAGACAAGCAAGTGTTGTTAACCACTTAGCTTAATTTCAGAATTACAGAAATTCAGCCTCAGAAGTGGAGGAACTGTTTAGTGGCATTGTTCTATTTCATATAAATATACAGAAAGTAGATACACTTTCCCCTCACATTGCGTCCACTTACTGACTTAGAGACAACTTTGCTGCCTGCCCCTCCTTTTTTGTTTCCTGGTACAGACCGAGGTTCACTAAAGGCAGCATAAAGTATCTAATACTATTTGGTACCATCCTTTTTTCCAGTGAAATATGACCCAACAATAATACCTTGGACTATGACATGCTTCAGATACAGTTTCTCTCTTTGTAAGCTCTTCAGTATTTTCATCACATGAAATGACAGGAAATACCTATCTCCTACTTCTCCCATCCCAGAAATCATGGTATATAGCCACTTAGTCTGGTTTTAAAATAAGACAGATGAGAATTGCAACCAACAGTTCAAAGAAGTGCAGAATTCAAGTTAGGGAAAATAGACTACACTACTGTAATGAATTTACCATGGATTTCATAGAATTTCACTTGCAACCTTGCATGAATCACAAAGAAGTATTTTAGAGTTCTTAGTTACTGGGCTTTTTCCTCATTGATACATAAACTGTCCTGACAGACATCTAATCTACAGTTACATGCAACCTGCCCCAGAAGTACTACATACAACCAAATCGGACTGAACTATAAACTTTTCTACTCGAGATCTAAAGGTATGTGCCCATCTACTCACAGAAACTTATTTTCTATGTTCTTCAGCCACATCTAGTGATATATGGACTATTTCTAAATACTAACAATCACCAGGACTGATTCAAATTTGTTCTCAGCTTTGCAATCTATTTTAAAATAGCTAAAGCAATATTCTAAATACTTTAGCACCAGATACACACAAAAGGGATCTGGTTATTATAATCACTGTTGCACTATAGATTCATACAAGTTAGAAAGCAGTATCTACAGGATGCTGCATTAATTAGCAAAACAACCCTACAACTTTTTTCAAGCATCGCATACAGAGATCTTGCATCAGTCTCATGGAACATACAGCCATATTAGTGGTTGACAACATCAGTGTGCAGCAAGTATCTGTTTATGCATTTAGGTTGGCAAAATTCCTACTACTTTTTAACAGTAACATGTAGGTGCTAAGGAAGCACATTTGTTTGCTGAAAATTGTATGCATGCAAGGAAGAGTAAAGCTGTTTACTAGAGAACCGACATGCAAAAAATTGCATATGCACGTTTTTTTCATTACAAAATTATACTAAACTAGGCAATTACACAAGATCACTTTTAAAGGCTCCACACCAGAAAAAAAGCAGTTGTTTCTACAAATGGAAGGATTCAGAGGAAAAGAACTAGAATTCAAAAATCTAGAAAATGTAATTAAATTTGAAATTGTAAGACAAAAATAGAAGTAGACTCGCTTAGAATTTACTCTGACCCTATGAGGAAACAACTGCTTCCAAAATGTGTTACATTAATAAACCTAGTGCTCAAATGCACTAAAATCATGAAATAAGCACTTCCTGGCATGCAATTTACTCGCTTTGCAAATTTCAGAAAAAGAAGCTGTCATTCATTTCAAATACTCACAGCTTTCTTTCCAAGTTCTGTTTTAGACAGTGTAAGAGCTCCTGCAAGATAACATCCTGGTCCTGCTCCTTTAGGTATTCTATTCAAAGAAAAATTTCAGTGTTAAAACCAGGTTCACTAATATTCCATGAGGAGTACAATAAAGAACTGGAACAGTGAAAGGGCAACACAAGAGGAAATACCAAGCCTAAACAGGTAGACACAATCAAAGTATCACTGCAGTTAGGTGCAGAGGCAGCTGGTTAGATGTAGATGAAAAAAACAGGACTTCAGTAACTTACTTGTCATCAGGCAGAGATGTAACAAAGAATGGCTGACTGTGTTTTGGTGGTAATGTCAAACTGTTGGATTTCTTCTTCCCTAAGAGAGCAAGGCTATGGTTTTCATAAATATCTAAGCTCAAGGTACTAGACAACCTGTGAGAAACAATAAATGGAAGGTCTTTGATGCGATCCAGCTCACTGTTCTGTTCGTGACGAATTTGTAACCGAATAGTGTAATCTCCTTTTTCCAGTTTCACAGAGTACTGAAAGAAAGAAGTTCTCATAAATGTCAAGATTAAATACCTCACCATTCACAAAGAAATCCAGAAATAAGACTGTCATATGTTCTTCTTGATCCATACAGCTGTAGTCATTTAAAATATGCTAGACTGCTTAGTTTTGGATGTCTCCTGAAAACAGAGTGTTTTCAAGACTTGATAGCAGCCAAAACACATTTTGGATTGACTGAAAAACCTCAAAAGTTTTCAGACCACAAAACAAGCTGACACAATTTGTTCTATTGTAACACTATTAACTGCTCAAATAATAATCAGAATTCTTGTTATTTCAGTTCAATACTTTTGGCAGATTTGCCTTTATACACTTTCAATTTACTACATAACTCTGCGTGCTCTGTGGTTTAGATCACAGAATATCTTCTACTATTTCAAACACTGTACTAGGTTTCACACTGAGGGACCCAGTAATGCTGTGAGATTTAAGGCTGCAGTCTGAAGAGCTTACAGACTCTTTGCCCTGAGCTTTTCATACATTCAGTTATGCAGATAACATCATCTCCATTTATATAAAACAAACACCACCACCAAAAGCAAAACCCACAAACACTGCCCCCCCTAAACCCAGACTCTCAAATTCTTAGTTTTGAAAACATTCTTTTGCTTCTATCAACCCAAAAGGGCACCATGTGGATGTCTTGAGCAGTAACATGCTAACCTTCCTTTCTGCTGCTGCTGTAATACAAAAGGCAGCCCTAAGTAGAAAGGGACAATAATTTAAAGTACCCTGCTCTCAGAATCTCACTCTCCTGGGTTAGGGATTCAGCTGGCATTTCTTCCTGGATAGCTAATTCTGAATTGCTTTAGAGTTTTCCATGATGCGCATCAGAGATACACAGTGTGGTGGTCCACGAGGTGTAAGTAACAGATTACTTTGGTGATTTTTAGATTTTATAACAGCTTTAAAAATGCAGGTGAAGGAACAGAAGTAACGCAATTTCTGAAACAGATTTACAAGATCCAAAAGACATGCTTTAAAGCTGATCACCTGTACACTTCTAGAATGATGAATCTACCAAAATAAACATTACATCGATGAAGTTCAAGAGTGATTTTGGATAGGTAAAAAATAGTTTCAAATAAAAAAAAAAACCCAACAAACTATAGAAAATGTTTCTCCCTCTTTTTGTCTTCCGTTTTTTTTCTCCTCTCTGAATGATCCAGAAACATAGTCTGTTCTAGCAGAAAGATTACTGCTGAGGGTACAGTGTCTACAAGTCTTGTGCAAAAAACCTCCATTTGAAAGGCAGCAACAGGAATAAACCAAGCTATAGCTTTTAAAAGGCTGTTTGAAGACACAACAGCACAGAAGACAGCCTTCATGGATACAGAAGCCTCTGATCTATCAACAGACAAGTCAGACTACAGAAAAAATAATGGATCCTTTCCACCTTAAACAGAAAAGTTCAAGATATGTTGATTTTTACACAAAGATATTAAAGAAAACAAGAACTTGAATTCACTCCTTGAGAAGCAGCAGTCAAAAAATCACAAGATATCATGAATTAACAGCTTTCTGTAAAATAAAGCACACTATCACTCTTTCTCCTTCCTTGGAAGAGGAAAAAAATCATCATAATGTTCTATTTCATGGAAAGAAACCTGCCATTACTTTTTTTTTCCAGACGAATACATCACCGCTGAACCTGTCTTCTTGTGAAGATATAAGAACACTTTATCTATGCATCAAGAAACGTTAGAAGCTAACAGCAGGCCTGGAAGGTGAAAAAGAATGAAGATTTTCACAACATGCAGAAAACAGAGGGTAAAATACATTGTTCTGTACCTGGTGCGGATAGGCATCTCCTGAACCCATTTGTCTTTTGTTCTGGTCAAAAATAATCCACAGTTGACTATCAAATTCAGATTCATACAACAATTCACAAAGAAGCGGACAGCTTGGAGTTACTTCTCCACTCTTAGGCTATTAAAAGAAAGATCAAAACATTTAATTCACAACTGAATGAGTACAATCCTTACACACATATTCAAAAGGATACCTGAACTAAAGCCCACTTCAAGCAACAGTAGCTCCTAAAAAGAACCACATGAGAATTTCCACTGTAGACAGTCCACACTATAAATCTATACCTTGTTTCTGACAGAAAGCTAGCTAAAGTTAACAACTGGCTTTAGAAAATACGCTATATTTATTAATGACTTTTTAAAAAAAACACAATCATCTATAACCCTGTCTTGGGTTCAGCAGTAGCAGTCATTTTTTTTCCTTCTTAGTAGCTGGTGCAGTGCTGTGGTTTTGACTTTCAGCCTGGGAACAGCGCTAATAACACCAATGTTTTTAGTTGCTGCTCAGTAATGCTTACTCTGACCAAGGACTTCCCAAGTCTCATGCTCTGCCAGGGAGGAGGGAAGCCAGGAGGAAGCAAGCCAGGAGGCAGCAGAGACAGGACACCTGACCCAAACTAACCAAAGGGGCATTCCGTACCACAGCATGTCATGCCTAGTATATAAACTGGGGGACAGTTACATGGAAGGGCTAGATCACTGCTTGGGTCAGGCTGGGTATCGGTTGGCAGGTGGTGAGCGACTGTATTCTCTTCCCTTGTTATTTCCCTTATTATTATTATTAATGGTGGTAGCAGTAGTGGTTTGTGTTATACCTTAGTTACTGGAATGTTCTTATCTCAATCCATGGGAGTTACATTCTTTCAATTCTCCTCCCCATCCCTCCAGGAGTGGGGGAGAAAGGGATCAGGGGGAGGGAGTGAGCAAGTGGCTGTGTGGTTCTGAGTTACCAGCTGGGCTTAAACAACAACGGACCCTTACCTGATGGAAGTTATAGGTCAAAATCATCTCATACAGTTGTCGATTATTTGGTAAAATATCTCTGGAGCCCAAAGGTTTTATTTTTGCACTCACTGGCCTGCAGATAAACAACAGAGTACAGATGGTACTCTTAAACATGTATCCTCTATCAAAATTCGTCTTACTTAAGCAGAAGCATATTCTGAAGTACAACTGAATTCAGCCCATACAATAACATCTCTTTAAAAATTATAACTGTCCAGGCAGTGTAAATTCATCAGTTAGAATGACTATCCATATAAAAATAAGGTTTAGTAACATTACAGAGACTGCCAAAGAAAGAAGCCAACAGAACTAAAAGCAAGCAAATCTGATCCAAAAAATAATAATAAAAAAAAATAACCAAAAAACCCCTCAAAAAAAGCCAGACTTCAGACTTGTTTATTTATAGAGTGAAAATTAATGGCATAGTAATTAGAAGACAGAATACATAGTTGTTAATTGTTTGTTATAGAAGGTTATATCAGAAGGGAATCCGTAAATCTGTAAAAGGCCTCATAGGAATCAGAGTAGTAACACAGGAGAATGTGAACATACAGTACCTATACACTATACACTAACTCAGACACAGCACAAAATATTGTTCAGAGCAGCACAAACACTTTAGATCTTAAACAAAGTATTTTGGCTAAATAATAATAATATAGGAAAATCAGGGCTTCAGAAATAGAGGAGTGGAATGAGTGGCATCATTTAACTTAACATTTCCTTCAGACAACCTTTCATGGCATTTTCTGTAAGATTCAGTCAGCTATTTTATTGCTAAGAGCACAGACTAGCCACACAGTAAAATATCTCTGCTGGATCATACCACAGAGTCAATCTTACCCAGGTTTCCTAGTCTGGCAGTCACCAGATAGACTGCTGACAGAAGACTTAAGAACCGACATGACTGCACCTGACATATCTCCCTGATATTCACCCTGTCTTCAAGCATTTGAAACTCAAGAGGCTGAATGATGAGCCATTCAGTACTTCCCCCTCCCGTGTTATGACTCATTAGTTCATTCAAGAGACACTACTCATGCCTTAATTTAAGCACTTAAGTATTTATCATTAGTTTATTTAACTGTAGTTTGTTTACTGTCAGATGAGTACCTCAAATATTACATGGAGGCAAGAGCATTTCCATTTTACAAACCAAGAATGAGGCAAAGGTATATTAGGGGACTGTTCTATCTCCTCACTTAAGGCATACCAAATTGTCAGTTTCTGAATCTAATATTAAGGGGCTAGCTCCTAGCTACTTCACTTCCATTTACAAGTATTCAAAAGGCCCAGAGAGAGCTCAAGGTCTCCATAGAGAGGCCCAAATTATGGAAAAGTTTGCATTACTGACTACTAAGTAATCTGTCTGGCTCAAGTCTTAATAAGTACTGGTTAAATTGCACAGAATTTCTTCTTCCACCTGAAGTGACCAGTAATCGCTGCACTGGTTAGGAATTTTCCAAAGCTTTTCCTCCAAATCATCATGTGTCAAACAGACAAGATGAAGACAACTTTCCCCAAGAAATCCTGCACCAGATCCTACAAAAGCACTTCCAATCAAGCAAGAGAAAGAAAACGGTCTTCCCAGGTCAAAATTGGGCAGGATCTGAAGCAGCTGCTTAAAAAACCCCATAAAACAACAAATAGTAGCACCAAATAACCCTACAATATAGATATCAAAGTGCAGTTTACATCTAAGTGGCTCCTTCAAAAGTAATGGAATATTTTTGCCCCCTTCCCCCTTTTAATTAGCAAAAGGAAAACAATTTGCATGTAAAAAAGGCATCATGATGCTCAAATTTTATCAGTTAAAGGAATCAAAAAAGAGAATGCTGAGGAATTTTATTAACTGAAGCTTCCAAACTTACTTAAAATTTGGCAAGAACACTTGTTACCCTAAATTTCACTGCTCAGTTGTTACTGTTTCATGTACATACAAGGAGTTCTCCCACTTTCCCAACACAGTTTCCCAGAAATTCTACCTGAGTGTTTGAACCCAGCTTTTCAGATTTATGCACGGAGCAATATCTTCATACTTCAACAAAGACTGAACATCAAATCGTACGATGCCTTCTGAAGCATGCTAAAGAAAGAGTATATAACAATTATGTTTCTGTGAACATACAACATCAGATGTGTACCATCAAAAATGCAATGCAAGCTGTATTTAACTATATTACTGGGTACAATAGTGCACATGTTTGAAGTGTCACAAGCTTACCTATATTTTACAATAGTAGATATATTGGAACTGTGTAACTCCAGCAACTGGAGTGAAAGTCTTCTTTGTATTTTTTTTTCCATGTTAATAATTTATACTTGGACTGTATTTGTACAGAACTGCCACACTTTGGGCAGGGCTAAGTTTTGTTTGTACGTTTGTGACTATTTCCTTTGAATATTTAATAAATATTGTTCATCTAGAATCTTATAACAGATATTTTACGGTGCTTCTGCTTAGGGTTATTATTACAGAATAGTTTTAATTTTGTGAAAAAGAAACAGTATTACCATACATAGTCTAGTAATGGGCCAAATAATTTGAGAAATTTTTTTCTACCAGTGTCCTATGACAAATTGACCAATATATCACACTACTAAAATTTACTCTATGAAAGTTATAGGTGATCAAGAAGAAATGGCAGAACTATAGTATTCTCTCATTTTCAACTGTCCATTATTCAGTTGATGTAATCCTGCTGGGGTGGGGGAAGCTGCAGTGCACAGCATCACCACAAGCTCTGTTTTGCTGATCTAGAGGTTCAAGACATAGTACTTTAACACAATGCACCCACTTCCCCCCCCCCCCCCAGGTTTATTTAGCTCTTAAGAGCCAGAATACATCCAAATTCACCTGTGGGGCAGCTATAATTAGCTCCATTCCATCACTGAAAAAAAACCCAACAAAAACAACAAACCCCAACAAAAAAGAGGGAGGAGCCAGTATAAATCAGCATGGTGCTGCTTTACAGAGGTATTGCCATTTCAGCTCTTAAAGAGAGCCCTCTTCAAGGCAAAAATCAAGCCAAGTCAGGTTGCACAGGACAGTAAAGAATATAGGAGAAAAACAAAAGTACCGTAAACATTACAATACTAATGTTTTTAGCAACTTTTTTAATCCTTCAGTATCATAGAGCCACAGGAATCACAATACAGCCATTCCTATTAACCTGCTTTTAAGAAAAAACATGAAAATCTCATGTATAAAAGATACCTTAAGTCTTTCTAGCTACAGACAAGAATGAAGCAAAGCTTCTTTCATTCTGAGATACCCTAGGACTTCAGAATACTCAAATTCAGAAAACGCAAATATTATATATTCCAAATAGCTCTGGAAAACTTACCATGTTTAGCTGAGGAGTAGCACAAAGTACACCATGGAAAGAAACTGTGTAATTAATGCTAACATCGCTAAGGCTTGCCCACCACCGAGCAACACAAAATTCAATGGTTTTTCCAGCCTGAGTAAGAAAAGCACACAGTTAGACCCAAGCTTCCATCTTTCACTTCTATTCACCCCAGACTCCCTCATTTCAAGGCAAAGTAATTGGAGTCTAGCTCAAAAACCATGCTGTTATGTCCAGTTTATGCCAATTATGTATGTTTGTACAGTACCAAATAAGACACATGCAGAAAACATAAGATAGCTCCAACAAAATATGATGCCTGATGTCCGCAACAAAGCAAAAAGTATTGGGGTATATCTTACAGAACCTTTAAATATTACATTTCCCTTTCCTATCCTTCAAACTAGGCAGTCAGGTTAGTTCACAGATGAGTTTAACCTGTGTATCAGAAAAAAAATGTGTAAAAATGTGTATCAGAAAAAAAGATCATACTCTCTGCCTCAGTAAGATGACATGAAGATTGGGAGGGTTTTTTTTGTTGTGGTTTGGTGGGGTATTTTTGTTGCAATTGTTTGGTTTTGTTTTTTTTAACCAACATCATAGAATTCACAAAGTGTCAGTGGGACAAACTTAGCTTAGGTCTCCCACCTGACATTTTCACAGAGGGTAAGGGAGTGAATAGCACTCTTAGACTTTAGAGCTATGCAACTTAATTAAGTAAGGCAGGGAACAAACTCAAGAAGTAAATTCTGTCATTCACACCCCTGAACTGTTAGCTCAGTCCCTGGCTCTGGCTCTGTTTTGGACTCTTGAGCTAGCATTGAGCTAAGCCTGCTGTATCTAAGCAGTATGAATGCAAACCAGTCAGTTATCGCCTGGCTTCAACATCAAGATGTCACAGATTACCACGTGCAGCAGTAATGGCTAGATATGCTGAACTACAGCTGTCACCGAAAGTTGGAGGAGAATAAAACTGCTTAATACCAATACAGCATTAAGAAGCAGGCACTTCTTTATTGCCACGCTGGGTGCTAGGTGGAATTTCCACAAATCAAGCACACTCCACGCCAATTTTGTTGTTACATTTATACACAAAAATTACAAGGTAGCACACTCCCAGTTACAATGGTTAGCGATTTGCACATAATATCTGCTGTGTCATTCTTTTCCGTTACTATGCTTGCACAAGGGAAGTGTCTTCACCTGGACAAGGGTCTTCTAGATCCACAGGTCTGTTTTTTAGCATTATAATGAAGGCAGTTTACTTCAAGACATCTTAAAAGGCAGTTTTGTTGCCAGGTTGGCTGGCTAGATTTCTACCTTGCCAGGTTGTCAAATAACTCATCCTATATACAATGGACCCTAGGCGATTTGGTTATGGTCTAGAGAGTAAGGACTAAGGCTAACATATCATAGAGAACAGGGACTTCAAGCTACACAGCATCAGTTTTCAAGTAGCACAGCAACCCATGCTAACATAAAGGCTAACTTCTTAAGTCAAAATATCCCTGTAGATAACTTCCGCAAACAAACAAAATACAGAAAAAAAAAGAAAAAAAAATCAGTAAAACTTAACATAATCTGCAACACAGCTATCCAACAAGTCATAGCCCCTATCTGAAAGGGAAACAAACTGGTCTGTGTAAACAAATACCAACAAAGTGAAGAGAGCAACACATTATAAGGGCATTCTCAAATAATTAAAACACACCAGCAAGCTATTAGGGATATTTTTAAAACTGAAAACCAGATGCATTCACTACTGGAACTGATGTATGATTTCTTGGGCTTGGGTTTTTTCTTGGGGAAAAAAAATAAAAAACCAGAATGAGTTATGTTATGCTGCACTGAAATATTACTTTTCTCTCTTCCCCCATGCCACCCTAAGGTACTTACTAAGACAGGAAAAGCTTCAGTCACTGATCCTTTTTCTGGTAAGGATGAAAATTTGTAAAACTCATGACTTCTATATGCTTTTTGTTTCACTAGCTGAACGGCATGAAGCACAAACTTGGCGGTCACATCAGCTGAACATGAGCATACTGTCACTTCTAGATTAAGGAAAAAAAACCTGAGTTTAAAGAGCCAAAAATCTTAAAAGGAAAGCAGAGATTCACCAGAAAAACACTAGTTATACAGTATCCACAGTGGCTCCATATATGAATAATGCTTATATATCAGTTATTTGCAAAGACTCTTTCAGATTAAGGAAAACTAGCTAAATTCAGAGACCAGTTTAAGTGAACCATGACTGAACTAATCAGTGAAAATTAATCAGACACTACAGAAATATAATCTGTACAGGACAGACTGCTGCTTAGTTCTAAATAAAGAGTCTTATCATTAACCTCAAGCTAAATGAAAGATTCTTGAAAAGATTATTATGTTGTAATCTCACACAGGAAGACAATAAACCCTTTTTCCCTTCTTGCTGAATTATGAGCTACTTGTCCATTACGAAAACCACATTTAAGATATCTTTCAACACTACAACCATAAACCTCAAGAACTAGGCAAATCTCAGACAATGATACTTCTCCATAAACATAGGGTATTCCTCCATCATCTCAAAATGTATTTGCTGTTTTCTACAAGACTGGGAATCAGGACTCTACTACACAGAAACCATGAAACAACTCAAAATCACTCCTCTAAAAGCTTAAAAGCAAATAAATATTTTACATATTCACAGATCAAATCCTTCAGTTCTTATTCAGGTAGAACTCAAAATGGTTTCCAGACAACTCTGTCAAGTCTGACAGATGCATTGTTTTATTTAATTAATGTGCTTATTTTTCTTACCAGCCCACGTAGCTCCCTGTGGAACATCAATAAAGTGCCTTCGGATTTGACCAGGTTTAAAATGAACGTCTGTATATGTCAGGTCATAGCTTGATGATTCATCTACTCTGTACATCAAAAAGAAAACAAACAGTAACCAAACAACATGTTTTTTAAAAAGCATTTTAAAATGCAAAAATACTCTAAAAAATGTGTACAATGAGGAGATTTGGCCCTCAGCACCAACTATTTTAGTCTGTACTGGTACAGAATCTGACAGCACAACGTTGCTAACGGATTTAAAACATCAGCTCCATCACATTATGTGGACACCCCCACCCTTCCTCCTTTCAAGTTTCTGTGCTTAAATGTAAGTATCAAAGGATCCTAGTTTTCAGTGGATCTGCTTTTCCTGGCTGAGTGACTTTCCACTTAAGTGAGATAAGGTATATAACAAGTTGTATTACTATGAGTGAATTATAGAAAAATTTGAGGGTTTTTTCTCAGGAGAGACTGTCCACTGAAGAGATTTAATAAAATATTCTCCTTATCGACATCACTGAATTCATATGTTCACAACAGTGATAAGCATCATACTAACTCTTTAAGTTTGCTGCATTAAAGTCATCATGGAAGTTTATCCCAGTGTGCATATGCCAAAAAAATGACCCCGCCTTTATGTACTCTAGTCCACCAGTCAGAAATGAAAAAACAAAAAAATTAAGCCAACAACAACAACCAACCAACACACAAAAACCTCAAGCAAACAAAAAAATAACAAACCCAGAACACCAACTTCCAGTCGACATACACATGGAAGTATCTTGATACTTTGGTCAACAGGCCAGAAGTCATGCATATTCTGATGGACCAGGAAGCTGCTAGCCTATGGCTAAGCTCTGCCTCCTGGCTGCCAGGACCACAACTGCAAAAAAGCTACTGCTGCTTAAGTCTGCCTGCCCAGAGAATCTTTTTAGAACTCTGCTACCTTATCAATGTTAGTACTAAATTCAAGAACTCCTAGAGAAAGAAGGTGGGAAAATAAATGACAAGTCAAGCGGGCACAGAAAACTAAATAAAACTTAAAAAATGCAGATAAAGCCTGGGTTTACTTACCTTGCTGGTATAACAACAGTTATCGGAACTCTGAAGAGAGGGCCTGCATTAGGCATTGCTATATCATATCCACACACCTGACAAAATAAAATACAATGACTTAAAACCTTTGGCTGAAATGAAATTATAGAGGATAACATTAAACTCAGAACTAGTTGCAGAGTATTTTGAAACTTTGTTGCTATCACTGAGAAAGAAAGAGCCTCATTTGACCGTCACCCTAGAAACAGTAAACCACATCACTTACCAAGAAAATAAATAAGTTTTCATACTTAAACTCATTTCAGTCTTTCCCCAGAAGTTTTCAAGCTTTCAACCCACATTTGATAGCCCCTATACCAAAAGTTCAACCTAGTTCCAAATTGGAGTTTGTCCCAAACACCCTTATTTTATTTCAGCTATTTTGTTGTCGCATTAAAAATATTTAATGCTTGTCTTCCAGGATTATGTTTGAGAAAATACACTTTGATTTACCATGCCTTTCATGTCCAAGGTTTAAATACTATCTCTGATTTAGCCATTGTCATTTGGCTAAAATGTTCTCCGTGACACCCTAAGAGACTTGCAACTTTAAGCATCTTAAACAAGTCACTTTTAAAAAGCAAGCTGATGATATCTTCATTATGAACAACTACAAAGCAATGGAAACATTTCAATGTTAATATAAGGTTTGGGATGGGGATGGAAGGGGTTGAAAAATAACTTTTGTTGGTGGGTTTCTTTTGCAGGAGTGAAATACGATGTTTGGGAGCACAAATGAGAAATTTAATGGTTTTTGTATTAAATTTTTCTAAATTTGAATGTAGATGCTTGAAGTCAGTGAAATGCTTTTGCTGTATGCAACCATTACCACAAATTTCTCTCCCTCACCTTCCAAAATGGGATGGGGTAGAGATAAGGAAACAAGAAAATATGTTGCATCACTGTACCCAAGCAACTCTTTTAGGTAAAGCAAAATCTTGGGTCCATGTAAGACTGCATGGCCACACCACAAAAGCTAGGCCGGTCCTTAAGCCACCACAGAGAGAGGTATTTAAGATCCCAAACATGGAAACCCACTGATCTCTATCTTCAATAATAATATAGGACTGAGCCAGGTAGTCAAAGGTGAAAATATACCCAGAGGAAAAAGATCTTAAATGAATATTTATTTGGCTTACATTTTCTATATGCTTTTATTTTTTAAAATCAGATTCTCAAAGTCTCAATGGCATCTGCTACACACAACACTCTATAGTATAACTATTGCTGAGCCCTGGATTGAGCCTGTATAGTCGAATAGAGTGTGACATTATATTCTGGTTTGTACAGCACACAGCTTTTACTGCCTTGAAAATTACTTCTATGAAAAGTTGATAGAGACCACATGAAAAGCAAAGGGCACATAATCTTGATTAGAACACCAATACTTCAATACCTCTGTATAATGCAGTCCTTCTCTCAGGCCACGTGGATCCACACGAATATTTATGTGTCGACACTGGTTCATAAGCTCTAAATGACTAGGACACTGGACCCATGATGCATTTGAAGTTAAAGCTAAATGAAGCTGAAGAGATATTCTTTCAGTGTTTTCTGTCAAGACACAAAATTTAGAAGACCGTTTAATAACACAAATGCATGCTCATTTTCCACTATAATATAGTATTTGCCATTGAATTGTTCTCTATTATTTCTCTTGAGAAAAATAGGATAGCTGCTGTGTACAGTAAAATAAAGGATGTACCAACTTTGAAATCCCACTGTGCACCTCCCCCCACCCCAAAACAGTAAAACCTGACAAAAGGCAAAGGCAGGCTAGTAAGCAATGCTGTCTGGAAGCAGGTATAAACTCACGTGTAGACAAAAAGTCTCACCTAATGCAGAGACATACAATAAAAAGCAACTGAACTGACTCAAAAGGTTATGCTAATTAGCAAATTACACTGTAGAGCAACCTAAGCAAGAAGTCTGTTTAAAACTACTACGATAATCTAGTCTGACTCTGCAAAATGTCAATTTAGCTGATTTTGCAAATGAGCTTTCATGTCAAAAAAGCTATGGGTTAAAGCACAGCTTCCAGAAAGATATCCAAGCCTAGCTGTATGTTTCAGTGATTAAAAAATAGCTTTCTCCTGCTCTAAAGGTTAATGACACTTTAAGGTCAATGATCCCCTCCCCCCCCCATTTCCTAGTCCTAATTAACCTTAGATTAATTTTAAGACATTTCATTACATCTTTGTTAAGTAAAGAGCACTCTATTATCAGATCTAATTCCCTCACTGGTAAATGAAAAGCAATAAAAGCTCAGAGAACTTTGACAGACTGTGCATATAAGCCTCCCTTAACCTCTTACTCCAGTTTCCCTAACAGTCTTGTTGAAAACACCAGACAGAAGTAACAACTGGACAGGTACTAGGGAAACATTATGCTACAAGCCAGTAACCCATTACAAATGTTGATGTTTTCAGATTGTTTGCTTCCAGCAGAAGGACATGCTGAACAATTACTCTATTTCTCCATGTCATAGAGTAAAATTAAGAACACCGACTGCAATGTAACCTAAGTTACTCTGAGTCAGTAACCTGTCCTGATTCATACCCTTTCTTCCCCCAGATAAACTTGCCCCTTTGTCACATGCCAACCTTCTTGGCAACACTGGTTTTAAGAAAGGAATTAATCTCAGTAATAAGATCTCACATGCATCAGTTTCTGAATACAATGTAATGTCTCTCAGTGAGCTTTAATTTGCATTTAATAAAGGAGGGCAAAATGGTTTATGGATAAAACGTGTCAAACCTTACATTTGCACAATTTAGTTCTACCCTGTTAGTAAGCTCTTCAGAACAAAGAGATTCCTCGTTTCAGCGAGAAGAAGCATGCAGCAGCAAAACATGGAGGTGCTGCAGCTGTAACTGAGGTTAGAACGGAAACTTGTTTAGCTGCATGCCATGGTGTACTACGAAATTTAGAGTTGCGCTTACTGCTTTTACAGTACAGACCGCCATCATTCCTCATTATCACAGCTTTCTGTTTAAACATCATGCTACACACAGGTCATTTTCTGAGTTCCAATTTGTATTTAATAAACTAAAGCAGGGTAATTTCTTCCCCACACCACAAGCAAAAGCTCTTTCCTACCCGTGTTCTCAGGAAAGACAGGTTCTATGCCAACACCATGATCAGAAGGTGCAGCTATCTGGGCAGGATCTCTGAGGTAGATTCCACGGTTGCTGCCAACAGTAACTGTAAAGCCTATGTTACTTGTGAATGATGAATTCTGAATGAGGTAGTCATAGGCTTTATCAACCTGTTAGAAAGAACACATTCTAAATTAACAAACTTCAACTTAATCATAATTTATGACATTTTCAGCAGTCGAAGCAACAAACAGTAAAGTAACTGACATGCTACCTGAGTGACATTGATTGTGCCTTCTATGATACTTAGTATAGAAAATGAGGCAACATTTTCAGTCTGCAACAGCCACACAGAGGTCAAAGGCAAGAATATTTAAAAAACAAAACACAACGCAAAACAAATACCCTTTGCTATAAATCCATCAAAAGATGCGTAACGAAGTTTTCAGAGATTACTTCACAGACAAAGAGAACTTCAAAGGCCCAGACCTACTATACTAATTTAGGTGCCTTTCTCGTAGTGGAACAACACTTAAGCATTTTAAACCTTCCATACAATACAAGAAGTTGAGCAGTTCAAAAGAGAGGAGCAATATAGGATGCCCATGTGATCTTTATATATTGATAATCATGTCAGGAAATCCAACCCCAGATTTCAGTAAATGAACTGTCAGAATAAACTCAGATGACAAGCCCACCTTTTTGTTTTAAAAAGACACCTTCCTATCTCACTTTCTGTTCTACTGTGTCCCAAAGCCTAAATTCTCCTCCACTTCACAGTGAGCTACCCTCGCCAGTGGAGATAAGAGCAGTCTCTTTTGAGACAAATATACAGCCTCAGTTTTTCAGATCAGTTTTAACCATGTTTTAACACACGCTTTAATCACAGACTACTAAACTGTAAGATATGACTGGTGCATTTGATTTTTCTGTGGCCTTCTGTATCAAACTTGGTGCTATAGATGTGTTTAGCAGCTGTTACCTACTAGGTTGTAGCATCTTTAGAATGTGAGTTTAGGGCTAAGCATTTAATATCTAGCATCTCTAAGCATGAGAGAAAAATCTCAGTACCTCTTTTTGACCAGCAGCTCTAAGAACCTAAGCTTATGCACAGGTAGACTGTCTTTCACTATGCAGGATAGGGAATGACTATCATCATACAAAGTATCACATCAAAAATTTCCAAGCTACTTGTCCACAAGATACAGCAAACACCCAGAGTTCTCAGTGCAGTTCTGGCGAAAAGTCATTGAACAACTGCAGTTGTACTGCTTGGCGAACCAGTGTGGGTATCTTTATTTTCACTGCCCAGAACTTACACTTGCAGCTTTTGTGTGCACTGAATGTGTTCAGCTCTCTCTGACAATAGCATAAGAACATTTTTAGACATTGGGACAGAATTCAGGCATCCAAATCCACATGTAGGCGATAAAAATCCACATCCCACTTTTATGCCCACGTACCTTTTTGATCAGTCTAAGAATGTGTCTAGTTAACACATTTATTCTATAGCAACTTCATGCTGAAACTGAAAGACCAATCTCATTCCTCCACCCCTCCCACTACATTCCCTTCTCCCTCCATCAGATCTGAAAAATCAAGCAGCTTGGAAGCAAACTGAGTGGGCTCATCTAGAAAGCTGTTTTTATGGTTTGGTTTTTTTTGAGAGTCAGGTTTCCAGTGGCAGTTTTTTATATTATGTTGGGGTTTTTGCTATTAAGTACCTGAATAATACCATGTCCTTGTGCAAATACTTCTATGTTTTCAGCCTTCACTGCAGTATTTTCTAAAGCTCTTCTGACAGAATGAACAGTGTAATGAATATCATTAGCTTTGAGTCCTGAAATTAAAAATAAGGGTATTATTGGATACAACAAAAAATTACAAAGTTGCAGCGTTGGTTTTGTTTTTATTTATTTATTTTTTTAATAAGAGAAATGAAGAATCTAATCTCTTTTAGACTATGCATCTATATTTAACATTGTAACATATTACCTGACAATACTAATGCAATGCCTCCACATGCATTGGGAGAAGACATGGATGTACCATTCATAAGTTGTGTTCCTCGCAGAGTCCAGTTCGGAACAGAAGCAATAGCACCTCCTGGGGCACTGATGCTTACTCCCAGGGCTCCATCAGTGCTAGTGGTAAAATAGAAGGGTTGAAAAACAAACTTCTTTTCTGCACACTTTATATAAAGTTTTTTGTGTACTTAATATTGTAGCTTTAGGGAATGTCCAGAAGCATATTACTTCACTAAATCCATTAACCCATTAAACCCAAGAAAAAGCATGCCACTAAGTAGCAATCTAAAAATGTCACATTAATCATCAGCTATGCCTGTTTTACATTGAAAGTTTTCTAAATTTACGCTCCTTCAGTACTCTTCTCACCACGCTTCAGTTAGTCAGCAGAGTAACTTCTGGAATTTGAATTGGAAAATGCACACAGATTTATCAAACACTTAAATAAATAAATCAGTATTTAATGTAGCCTATTTAACAGCTACTGTCTTTACAGAAAAATAGTAAAAGGGAAAAGATGACAAGAAAAGATAAAAAAAAAAAATGCTGATCTCTAACTCTGCATGCTGCCACTTCAACTACCAGATCAAATTCTGAACACAGGGCCTGAGACAAGGACAGAAAGGGAAGTAGACAAAAATAAAAAGGAATGCCATATAGACCAGGATCAGCTGGGCCTAAGAAACCTTTCCTTCTTGTCCAAACATATTTAAGAACAGAGTGAGTAACTATGACACAGTTAAAACCAGCTTTCAACAGTCTGAGCCAGATACACTCAATTTTCTTTGCTCTGGATAGACAAAAACTGCAGCACTTGAACAAGAACAGCACTGTGCCTAAGCTATTAAGTTCTTTGGAGAGGTAAGGTATTTTGGGGTATTTATGTCCCACACTAACACCTTCATTCATCTAAAATCTGCCTCAACTCAGAGTACCCTCAGGATGATACTGTAATGTGACCTTTGGACATACGACAGCCCTATATAAATGACAGGCTCTGTATCACGACACTTCTGGTCAAGCAGTGCACAGTGCATCTGCTTGAAAGCCTTTCCTGCTTACTCTCAGACAGACTCAACCCTTAGCCCAAGTCTGCTCTAGAAAAGGTTTAAGAACTCTGTGTGTTACACCCTGCACAAGGGGAATCCTTCTTTAGCCAGACTTGGGCCTTTTAGCTGACATATGCTCATTCTGACTATTCTACAACACAAGGTGACAAAGCACACAAAACGTAGTTTTTGTGTGTGTATGTATGTATACTGATATTAATTACAAATCTTTCTCCCTTTTTCAGCTGAAGGCAGAGACCACATTTGTCTTTTCACATGAAACATGACAATTCCACATAATAAGGTTCTTGAAACAATATACTTGCCTGTAAATATACAAACACCATGACAGCTAACTTTGAAGATTGCTATGTAAACAGCAAATGAACCAAATACCAACCTCAAGTTATGCTTTTTTATTTTTTTCTTTCACCCACTACTACTGTAGGCTGACTATAAATATAGCATATTGTAATTTTGCTACATGTGAGACCATACTTTTTTGCCTTTTTTGGCTACCACATTAGTACCAAATGCTTCTGAGACATGAAATAAAAGCTGAAGTTTTCATTGCCCCATAATTTTCTTTCACAGGTCTTCAAGAAAATGTGTTCTAATGTGAAGCATAAAAGCATTTTCTTCTGCCTGCTCACACTTTTACTAGACTCAAGCAAAATCCTTAAGCTGTGCCATCACAGCAATGTCACTGAAGCCAGAAATAACACCACTGCAGTAACAGTATTTCTTTTAATCTCCAACACTAAGCAAACAGTTAACTTCACCACACTAACTTAATGAAATAAATGCTATGTAAAAAATCATCTGAAAAAAAAATTCAGAAAAAGATCAGATTTCCAAGCAACTTTATGATCTTTGAGTATGCCTGCACTCAAATACACTTTCCTGACATACTTTCTCCTGTGCTGAGGCAGTGCAGTGGTCTTCCCCCTTCCCCAGGAGCTCTGGAGCCCGAAGTACAAAGGCCTTCCAAGAACAGCAGACTACCTATGCCCTTCCCACAGGAAAGAAATACCCTTATGCTGGTATTAATGACCACTTTTTGGATTTTGAATTACATAATCTGAACTCCAAAGCAATGAATTTGTTCTTTCAGTACAACATACCTAGGCCCTCTGGATGACCAAGTATATTGATTTGCTGGCAGTTTTTCTCTTAAAGAGTATTCAGCAACCATCATGTCAGGTGAAACGTAGGCACCAACACCTGCAAAAAACATTCAAGTATTTTAAATGTGCAATGAATTTTTATTAATAGAAAAAAATATTTCTGTGGTTTAAATTCATTATAAGAATTTTTTGCTTGACACGTAATAATGGAAACATGCATTTTCTGTATCATTACACCCAGATATTTTTACAAAGCAAGTATAAAGCAGCATGCTATGGACTAAAAATGCTCTATAATATTGAAATATTATGTAAACTCCAAAGTTTCATTTTTATTCAACTGGTACAGAATGCATTTACCTTCTAAATTTCTTTCACAACAAATTCATTCTACATGTCTCCACTCTCTCCCACACACTTTTGGCGGTGTTTACATTGTTACAAAGTACACCAAACATAGCTCAAAGCAATCTGGGTGAGTTGGGTCATGTTCACATGGCTCATAGCTACGCCACCTAGAGCAGATGGCCACATCCACAGAGCTCAAATACAGCAATGAGACACTCATCACTTACTTTCCTATGTATCAGTTCAAAGTGCCCAGAACATGTAAATGACTGTCAAAGTCTGCTAAAGTTGTATTTTTAAAACACGATGTCATTGCACCTGTGCCACGTACCTACAGTGTACACTCCATTTTCTCTATGGCACAAGCACTACGAGGATAGTAGAAAATTACCATACCAAGCTAACAAACAAACTTGTAAAGATCTGCATCCATGCTGCCTGTGTGAACTAAGACAACCTGTCAACTAGATTTTGCTTTACCCTCAAAAGACAAACAAAAAATCCCCAACCTGTCTGGTTCACTCCAGATGGTAGAAAAAGAGCTGCAGAGTGAATGATCAATTAGTTCCTGGGGTGATACAAGTACACTGAACTGACAAAGTAGATATGCTGTAAGAGCAAAGACAATGCAAACCTGAAAAGAGCTTGTAAGTTCCAGTTCCAGCACCTGTTTCATTAGTGAATCAATTCTAGATTAACTTCAGAAAGTAATCAGTGTTCTACTAGCTGTCCTGAAATACCGACTCTCCAACTTTCAAATCTACATGCTAGTCTTCTTGCATGAGAATTCTGAGATTTAACAATCAGCTTACGTGACTTAGTAATGCAGCATAAGATTTATATAAAAATAAACACTATAAAAATAAATGCTATATATTTTGTTAAGTTTTATATCTCAATCTTTCACTGAAATATCAAAACCCATATACCTAGACATTCAGAAAAACAAATTCTTATGGTAGTAATAGACCTGCACAGAAGTTGCACTACAGATGAGAGAATTCTTCCTCTAGAAGGACCTGTCTAGGTCATCACATGGGATCATTTTACATCCAAGTTAAATGCTTTGTTTCACTACAAATAGAGTATCTGATGAAGACAAAAGATCTAAAATTGTGGTTACTCTGCTGACTAACTGAAGCGTGGTGAGAAGAGTACTGAGGGAGCGTAAATTTAGAAAATTGCACTACAAGGCCTTCCAGAACATTAATTAGAATCCAACTTGCCTGTATTTTTACAAGTCAGATTTACCAGCAGGTAAGGGTCTGAGTGGTGTTGTCAGATGATTACAATTAAGACAGAAGCTGAATCCTGCCAACACTTCCCCCCCAGCCCCATAGAAAATGATTTACCTATTACACTAGATGTAGTTCCACCGGGACATCCTACTGTAGAAAGGCAAGGGCCATTATTTCCTGCACTTGAAACATAGATTACGTTGTGTTTCCACACTGCTTCATTAATAACTTCACAAATTCTCCTGATGTATAAAAAAAAAAAAAATTAATCAAAAATATTATTTTCTTCCCACAGGGCAAAACTCCCATTTCCTGTAGAATCTCTGTGACCAGTCACAGAACAAGAAATATTATGCAGCCTGCTCCCCACACCTGGCAGAGCCATTTCCAGTACAAAAGCTGACCACAAAAAATATTTTCTAGTTTAAAAAAAAAGTAAGTTTTGTAGCAAAATTAGGTCTTCACTCCCCCTCCCCCAATTATGTGGTGTTCCAACTACAAAAAATCTTTATTATACTAAAACATATTTTATACTATAGGCAGTTAAAAATATAAACTGCAACAGTTTAATGTATATGATTGTCTGAGCCTGACAGTTCATTTACACAAAGTTCAACAAATGTATGTAATTTGTATTAGAATACCTTATATTAACCGCAGTGGTACTCACCCAGAATTTGGCCAATGTGTTGCCTCTCCATAGCTATAGTTGACAAGATCACATTTGTATTTTATTGCTTCTATCATCTGATAAAGTAAAAATAAAAGCCAAAATACATCCTAATCATAGAATAAGTCAAGTAAGGAATGGCAAAGAACATCTTCTTAAACTGATTCGCTATAGATCTAAGAAAATGGGATAAATTTCTTTTGATTCTAGAAAATAATTTACTTCAATCAGTTATTTAAGTGCTATTTCCCAGGTGAATAAACAGAATAAAAATCCCAGTCCCTTAACAGCCTTACTTTTGTCATGTTCCAAGCTATAAATTAACAGTACCCTAAGAGAAAACTGCAGACTTCATTAGTATTTGTCTCAAATATCTGTACTCAATAACATAAAATTCTCTTTTCTTGTGCAGTTTGGTTAAATTCCCAAAAGTTGTAAAAACATTATAGTACATCTTTGTGTTGCTATAGCAAGATACACTATGGGCCACTAGTATAGTTTTCTATTTTCTGTTCCTTTTCTTGTGTGATTTTTATCCCACATCAATCCATTATATGGAAAAGGTCTTGGGACTTTTTTCATTAAAAAGGAATTATATCTTTCCTCACTTTTCAGAAAGTGAGTAAAAAGAAAAACCAAAAACCAAAGAACCAACCAACCAAACAAAAAACCCCATCAAAAAACAAATCACCCATATTAGCAGATACTAGTCTCTATGCTAGATTTAAGTATTCTATAGTTATCTAGGTAACTATAAAAAAAACATGCTCACAACACAGAATAAGGAACTAGAAACATGCATACAAGTAACTTCAGCCACATGTCAAGCTAGCCAGTCACACTGCAACTCCGTTAGTCTGTAAAAATCTCTAAATGCTCTGTACAACAGAAGACTTGTTTTATACTAAACCTAGTATTAAGATATGTTTTAAAATACATTCTGGTATGCTTTACAGGTTTTTTTGGTTGGCTTATTTTTGTTTGTTCTGGATTTTCTTTGATGGGGAGGGTTGTTGGCATTTGCTTGCTTACTTCTTTTTGTTGGAAATATTCTAGAACTATAAAAGCACTCCCTATGAGCAAGTAGAGAACAAAATTGTAGAATATTGTGGAACACTAAGTCACACTGCTGAAATTAATCATTTAGTCAGTGAAATACCCACAGCTCTTATTAGACCAGTGCCAGTTTCCATTGTACTTAGTCTTGTATCACCAATCTTGATTGCAAGAATCTGAGCTCCAGGAGCCACACCATTTCGTTCTGGCTCTTCTGGAAAGTACCCAGCTGCAATACTAGCCACATGTGTTCCATGTGCTCCTGAGGAAACAAAAAGTCGTAACACTGTATCTGTAGTGAACTTCATTTACACAAATTTAATACACTAATTAATTTTCATTTACTGATCTTTAAGTATAGAAATCCAGTTACCAGACAGTCACAAGTGGTGATCCCCAGGGCTCAAGATTAGAGCCAGTTCAGTTTAATACCTTTATCAACGATCTGGATGAGGGCATCCAGTGCACCCTCAATAATTTTGCGGATAAGATGAAGTTGGGCAGGAGCGTTGATCTGCTTGAGGGTAGAAAGGCTCTACAGAGGGTTTGAACAGGCTGGATCACTGGGCTGAGGCCAGCTGTATGAAGTTCAACAAAGCAAGTGTCAGGTCCTGTACTTGGGTCACAACATTCCCATGCAAGGCTACAGGCTTGGGGAAGAGTGGCTGGAAAGCTGCCCAATGGAAAAGGACGCGAGTGCTGGTCAACAGCTGCGGAATATGAGCTGGCAGCATACCCAAGTGGCCAAGAAGTCCATCCTGGCCTGTATCAGAAATAGTGTGGCCAGCAGGACTGGGGAAGAGATCATGCCCGTGCTGAGGCTGCACCTCAAATCCTCTGTTCAGTCCTTTCACTGCAAGAAAAACATTAAGGTGCTAGAGCAGGTCAGAAAAGGGCAACAAAGCTGGTGTAGAGTCTGGGAAACAAGAATGAATGTTATGAAGAATGGCTGAGGGAAATGGGGTTGTTTAGTCTAGAGAACAGAAGGCTCAGGGGGGACCTTATCACCCTCTATACCTGAAAGGAGGCTGTAGTGAAGTGGGGGTCAGTCTCTTCTCACAAGTAACAAACAGGACAAGATGTACTGGCCTCAAGTTAAGCCAGGGCAGCCTTAGGAAAAAAAATTTGTTCCCTAAAACATTTGTCAGGCATTGGAACAGGCTGCACAGGGAAGTAGCTGACTCACCATCCCTGGATGTATTTAAAATACGCTGTAGAGATGGTGCTTAGGGACACAGTAATGTTAACAGTTAGACTCAATCTTACAGGTCTTTTCCAACCTAAACGGTTCTACAATTCTGTAAAATGAGCCCAGGGTTTAAATCACTAAACAAATGTCCTGTTATTCTCAGGAAAAAAAAACCCAAAACAATCCAGTGAACAGCAGCAATCTGGAAAATAAAACAGCTTTCTGAAGGGAGAAAGGAGGCAAGAGGCAGAGAAAAAAAGATGTATTAACTTACTCCTACTAATGGAAGTTACTTCAAAGGCTCAACACTTCCTACTCTAAGTTATGAAAATTATACCCGAGATGACTCAAATAGTGGGGATTAAGTAAAAACAAAACTAAACAAAACAAACAAATGCCCTAACAAAAAGACAAAAACACCCAAACAAGTAAAAAAGCCCAACAACCCAAACCAAAAACCCAACAAACAAAAAACAAACCCAAACAAAAAGAAACAAACAAAAAAAAACCAAACCCACAAAACCACAAACCAAAAACTGCACAAAGTTTTTGTTGAGATAAAAAGGAATCTCTCAAAAAAATATCATCAATTTAGAAATCAGAACCGCTTCTGTAGTTTTACTGACACAGGATTGTTTAATGATAAATTAAGAGCATTTTTCAAACCAAATATATCCACATCACCATAACCACTTAGGATGATTCCAAAACATAACAAGGTTATATAAAGAACACACATATTCAGAGTGGTTAGAGCCTCAGCTATCGTGACACCTGCCATCACAAAAAAGTTTGGATAAACCAAAATAAAGATCAATACGCCTTTTGTTCACAGGTATGTCTTATTTAAGATTCTTAAATTATACAAGTACAAAGCACAGCAACTAAAAATCAGTCATCACCTATATTTAAGAAGCAAAACAAAAAAAAAGGTACTTTAAAAGAAGGTTCTCTGTTTTAGGCATTAAGATACAAGAACACCTTACAGAGCACTTAAACTTTACACAGTGTATTTATGTAGGCATTTGAACATATAGTTAAGTATTTCAGACACAAATGCAAGCAAGTTTGGTAATGAGCTGTCATTACAGCTACAGTTCAGAAAACCTGAATATTGATCTTGACTGCCACAGTAATGAATGCTGTATTAAGATAGCTGCCTTGAGCCATCCCAAGTATCAAAATCAAGACCCAAAAACTGATGCTGCTCAGCAGCAACATTTTTCATTTACCTCCACTTGTCACAATGGAAAGAAGGTTTCCATCATCATATATATTCACAGAATAATTCAACATTTCAGATGTTCCAAAAGATCCATACTCCTGAGCCTCTTTGTAGGTTCTCAGCACTGTACAGCTTGTCAAATCACCACTCTCGCTTGTATCTATGCAGGCTCTGTTGACCAAACAAAATGGTTATTTTCCAGCTGCTGTAAGCTTTCGGTTATCTTGCCCCCCCAGCAAAGTGTACTACCACAAAGACTTCAAGAAGTCTGGTTCTGTGTTTACAGTATCTTAATTCTTTAAGTCAGTATTTTTAAATTGGGTTGTTCGCACTTAAGATTCAGAATCTGCAAAGATCTCCGAATAAACTCACTTTCAAATGCTACTAAATTAAAACAAATCCTTCTTAGAAAAGCAAGCATATGAAATTTAAGGAATTTCTTCAAGGAAGAAATTTTACTAATACTAGCTGTTCAGTGCTGGTACATAAACATTTGAAGCCTTACCCACTGTTTTCTATGATGCACATTGTAAGTCAAGAAAATTGCCATGTTACATACTGAAGTTTATGTAAAGACTTCTGTGTTTTAGGTTTTTTTTTTTTATTGTTGCTGCTGTTTTGGGGTTTGGCTGTTGGTGGCTTTGTTGTTTTTCCCCCCTCTCACCAATGGATACTCAAAGCAATTTTATTTTGCCTCAGAGGAAAATCCCACAAGCTTACCCTTTACATCATGCTGTCTTTAATAAGACTTCATTTTACCCCATCTTCATTTGGGATTGGAACTTTGTCATGAAACTCAAATGATACAGTAGGATTATCTTAAAACAAATAATATTTAAGAACTCGATAAAGAGGGTAGATTTGAAGGTTAACACAGCCTTCAATGAAAGCTGTTTTTTTATGTGTAGATGATGACAACTTATACAAGTTTAGGCATTTACCTCCAGGTCTCACCATCATTCCATACCAGACAGTCATATACTGGGCCAGGATCACTGTATTTTTTCTCAAAAGAATTCAACAGTTCCACTTGATTTTGAAGTTCTTCCTTTATCAGCTTATTTACCTAGTAAGGCAACAAGAATACAGTTAAGACTATTTCTAAAGTTGTTACAAGATAGGCAATCTTACATTTCTTTCTGATTTTATACATTTGTTATGTCACTTCACCAAGAATGCAAGACTACCCTAGGAGACACAAACATCTAGAAGTTTAATTGTCTTCCAACAGTGCACTGTTTATTTTTGGCCCATTTTGCATAACTATTTCCAGTTTCTGTAATTGTAAAGTTTAAATCCCTTATCTATTTATTTATTTATTTATTTATGCGTTATTAAAAGTTACAGAAGTGACCTGAGGTATTCCTGGTACTTCACTGAAACAGTACCTAGCTTACAAAATAAAGGATATGTTTAGAAGATTCCAACTTTGAACACACCAAGGATGACAGCCTTAAAAAACCCCAGCATACTAAATAAAAAATAAAACTTACTAAAAAAACCTGCTACAAAGTATTTGAAGTAACACCCTTTTTGTACTTGACAAGTTTAGAAAGTTAACAGCGCTGAGCAATGAAACAACTATCCATATATAGACTTTTTTAAATTAATCAGAAGATAAACTAGCAAGTGATCTGCCAAAAGAACCACGAGTATATTTCCTTCACTCATCTAACAAAGTATTTTAACCCTCTCAAACAGTAACAAATTGCTGCAAACAAGTTTATAAATTTACTTATCCAAACCTGGGAGGAAGAGCTATGAGCTGCATCAAATTCTTCTTGTTTTCTACAGGCCTCTGCTAGAGCCAGTCTGTGAATGGGATCCCACAGCTTTTCCTTGCGTTCTTTCTGTAGAATAAAACCAGGTTCCTCAATGTATGAACAAATACCTACGTCCAAGTATGTATACTACAAAAGTAATACAAAAATTCCGCTTTGAGACACAATAGCTACAAAAGTTCAATACAATACAATAAATGAACATCAACCACCACACAGCCAAAAGAAACTGCTGTCAGTTTTGCCACTGTGAAGAGGACCACTGACTGGACTGCTCTAAAAAAAAAAAAAAAAAATAAATCACAGAAGAAATGGATCATGTCAAAACTAAGCAACAATAAGCGACAGAATAGCTTTCAAGGGTTGATTAGCAGCCTACATGTGTTAGTAAATCACATACCATAGTTTCCTAGAAAAAATTAGGAGTCAGAACAGTGAAAAATGACTATACACTACACTAGACGCAAAATGCAATTTCTTACCTGAATCCTCTCCTTAAGAGCTTTAGGATAAATATCATAGCCATTTTTTATGCCAATGTGATATTTGCCTGAAGGATTTACCCAGGTTGCTGGAATCTGCAGAAAAGTATATTCAGAAATCTGTTAACCAATGGCATTAAAAAAAAATAATATGAAAAATCAACACTGTAAGAGAGCTTAGAGGAGAGACTTGCAAGTATCACTAATTTAATTCCCTGCCTCCATGATAGTAACTCATGTACCAAGTTTCAACAACATGACATGGCAATTTCAGTCCAGTTCGAAAGGAATCAGTATTAATTCATGTGACACTGCCATTGAACAACTAAGTAACCACTGCCCTGATGATCTACTTTGAAAACACAAAGCCCCAGCAGCGACCTTACTGGGTAGAGGTCTGGGAAAATAACAGCACTATAAATGAAAAGCAGCACCATAGCATGAAGAGGTGTTATGGTTTGAAGTCATGACAAACATCTGAATATCTGCTTTCATATCTCACTACAGCTTAGACTCTCAGTACATCAGATCCACTACTCCTAGTTGGGAAAAAAAGAAAAAAAAAGTGCAACAGATTCACCCTTACAAAAGTATTCTGTGCAAAATTCAGAAGGCAGGTGTCATGGGAAGATCCAAAGAGCCAATGCCCTCATGTCACCTCATCAATCAAATTATGCCAGTAGCATCAGCAGTTCTAAGCTCAGACCCCTGCTAGATCTCATCATATCTTTTTCAAAACCCTACAGGGTTTCTGTTCTATTTATAGTGAGAATGCGGTGAGCCTACAACCAAGTCCTCACAGGTTTTTCAGTCTCTAGAACTATCTCCCCACAACTTGAACACCTGCCTGCCAACAGAAAGCAGTGGATAAATTCCCTCCTTTCCTCTCCTTGCACACGCAGATTTTGCTTAACCTGCTAAACTGTCTTTACCCCAACATGCAAGTTTTCTCATTCTTACCCCTCCAAGTCTCTTCCCCTCATCCTGCTAGGGGGAGTGTGAGTGCACTACTGTGTGGGGCTTAGTTGCCAGCTGGCGTTAAACAGTGACATCTGGTTAAAAGAAACTAAGTTCTGCAGAAAGTAAAATAAGTACTAAATTAGTAGTTAAACAAAAAAGTAAAAGATGCTCACTAGTGTCTCTGCAGCAGTCAATACTCACCTTTAAAGTTCTTCCAGACAGACCGACAATTTCTCCATCTTTAGGTTCCGCAATGGTACACGTAGTTACATCACCACTGCCTGTTGTATCAATTATATCAATTATCTTGGGTTTCCCATCAGTTGTAATCTGAAAATATGAATACAGAAAAATGAAAACATAGTTGATTACCCTTCAGCACAAAATCCAGGAATTTTTTCATGACTGTTAATAAAAATATCAACCAACTTTCTTAAGCACCCAACATTAAATGGAAAGACATAAAACCAACTTGAAATTACTTAAATTTTCAATGAACTAAAAGCAATGTGCCCATCTTTCTAGTTTATACAAATTCACTAAGTAATTTCTAAAAAGGATTTAGAAGACAAACAAGTAAAAACATTGTACCCATAAAGCACAGGAGCCCCAATTTAAAACCAAGCTGAAATTTGCAAAAACTACTATATGTGTTCAAATAAACTGCTGTGTTGCTTCCGTCCCACCATTCTGGATAATTTTACTGTAATGAACACACAACTCTAACAAAATGAAAGGTGCTTAATTAGAGGCACTCACAAGCTTGAGTCTCTTAACTGAGCTTAAATCTAAAAGGAACACAAATTATCATCATCTTATTTTTCCTTTGTCAAGGATTCTACTCGTTTTAACCAATCTGAAGTCTTAGGAACTATTGCTATATACCCTAATACTGTATAAGAAGTATTTTTACCACGGTGAAGAGAAAGGGAGCTGACTAGCTAGAAAGAGTGCTAACGACCATAACTTTCAAGCCTCTTCAAATTAAACGAAAACTAGCCCTGATGGACTTTACAGTAGTTGTAGGCAACTAAACATGAAAACCGAAACCGCTAACCTATCCAAAGTTCCCTTCACCTAGAGTAACCTCCCACACAATTATCAAGACTAAGATTTTTTTATGTTATTTTACATTTACAAAAATATTCAATGTTATCTTCTTGTAATAACATGCTTCATCTAGTAGGTATTGTACGAGTTCATCCGGGAAATAAACTATACTCCATATACAGCAGTATTTTCCTGAAGGGCAATATGAATTCAGATGGCTGAAGCACCGCTCCTATGAAGACAGGCAGAGAGATTTGGGCTTCTTCAGCCTGGAGAGAAGGCCCTGGGGAGACCTTAGAGCAGCTTCCAGTGCCTATAAGGGGGCCAACATGAAATCCGGAAAGGGACTTCCTTTAGGGCATGCAGGGATGGAACATGGAGTAATGGCTTTAAACTGAAAAAGGGTAGATTTACATTAGCTATGAGGAAGAAATTCTCCACTGTGAGGGTGGTGAGGCACTGGAAGAGGTTGCCCAGAGAGGTGTAGGTGCCACATCCCTGGAAACATTCAAGGTCAGGCTGGACAGGGCTCTGAGCAACCTGATCTAGTTGAAGATTTCACTGATCGTTGCGGGGGGGCTGGACTATATGACCTTTAAAGGTCCCTTCTGACCCAAACACTCTATGATACTATGAATTGGTCATATGCACCTATTTTTTTATGCTTCTACATTAAAGATATTAAAAAAAAAGAAAAAAAATCAATCTTCTCAACACCTTCTATACAACTACACTGAAAGTGAAAAAAGCTTCTTGTTCAGAAAAGCAGCAATATTTGCTCTTCTCTACCATTTAAATATTTGGTATTGTTGCCTTTATTCCCTATTAATAATTTTGATGCTAGACATAACACACACTGCATGTAGTTTTGCTCAAATCATGCTCTGGAATTGTGAATTCAGCTGCTGAAGTTAACGACATGACCAAGCTGTTTCATAAAAATCACTCCACTGCTGTCAAAAAGACAACAAGGCTCAAGCTTTTATCACACTTCAACAAATAAGAGTAAGTATTTCCAAGGTCTCAAATTCTTATGGTTAAGGGGAAAACCTTAACAAACAAACAAAAGCACAACAAGCAAAGAAAAAACCCTCCACAACAGACACCCAACAAACCCCAAACAAAACAGAAAGCCACTCATCCACAAACAACACCCCAAAAAACCCCAAAACTCAACTAAACAACATATAGAAAAGTAACAGGCAACCACTCTCCCATATAAAACCAGGCTTCAACAGGCCAGAGAAAAAAGGACCAAGCCCCAAAATCCTAAACTTGTAACAACCATAAAAAGGACATAATTTAATTTCACAGAAAGTAACAAATACTGCTTTTGAAGAGATTTGCTAAGGAAAAATTTCTATTACAGAAACCAGCACTGTTACTCTGTTTACAGAAATTCATGTTGAGATTTGAAAATCGTTAAAGCATGCTAACCTGTTAAAACATCCACTGAACAACAGCTGCACAGTAGTGAAATTTTACTTGGGAAACATGGTGCATAAGCACTCAAACCATACGGTTTTCTAGTGTGTGTAATTAATGTCTTCAAATGCCAGTCTCTACTCACAGAAAGTCAAGAGCTGCTCCAAAAATAAAGCAAATGCAAAGACAACCCTGAGATTCAGAACTGAACATTTTTCAATATGCCTCTGAAGAAAGTGAATTGTTCAGTGACCAAAACACAAGAAAACAAGAATGAAAATGTAATCCAAGGTGACTTGTTGGAAGGAGACAAGTTATACTGCAACAGGTGGCCAGAACACAGATTTAGACCACAATGAACTTGGGTAGTTTTTAAAGTTGCGTAGCCAGCAAGACAATGAACAATTCCTACAATACACAGCACTTCACCTCCTAGCTGAACAGCAGGTCCAAAGGTGCACGTGAGTTTGTACAGTTAGAACTGTCTTGCAGTCAGACTCAAAGGTCCGGTTTTCAGGTGCAAAGGTTGAAGACTTGATTTCTAATGGCAGTGAACCACACAGGTTCACTGTCACTTAGTGTAAGTAACCAGTGTGGCTGCTTCTGCTATCATGGACTGGTTTGACATACTGCCCACCAGTAGTAATGCTACAGTGAAACTCAATTCAACTGTTGTTTTTTTTTTTTGGGGGGTTGTGTGTTGTTTTTGTTTTTTTTTTTTTTTTTGGTTGGTTGGTTGGTTTTTTTTCCCCAAGGATTCTTCCAAGGATTGTAATTCTGAGGAAAAAATAAAATAAAAAAAAAGTGAACTTGATCAACTTCCTCATGTGACCAGAAAAAAACCTGGAAATAATGAATATTACAAACAAGGTATGTTTTACCTTTTGCGCTAAAAAAAAACCAAACCCAATTAAAAATATTTAGAGTGTATTTAGAACCCCCAATGCTACCTTTAATATCATGGTTTCCCTACAGCCATTTGAAAAGTCTACAAGTTTATGACTTGTTTATGCTTTTTAGTTTGAAGTTTGAAAAACACACTCTCATGTTAGCTCTGACATCGTAAAGCAAATAAATTAGTAAATTTTAGTAAAAACACTAAAAAAACCACCAAACCACCAAATCTATCTGCGTAATCCTGGCAGCTGATCAGAAGCGGAGGAGCACCAGTATCTGTGACAATCCCAAATTAAAAGGCAAAGCCAGATGCATTTGAGCATGTTTTTGCCAGAGGATACAATATTACTGATTCCAAATGACAGCTATTGCAGCAACAGGAGATGAACAAGTTCTTCAGCACTTGGGTCACGGGACAGCTGATCATCATCGCAAATAAAAGAGAAAGTTATTTGAAAATTAACTCAGTGCTGAAAAACAAGTCAAGCCAACTCAAGCTGCTACTGGTAAAGCATCATCCCATAAACACATGAGATAGATAATAATAACAACAACAACTCCAACAGGCACTTCACAAAATAATTAAAATTGCAAGAAGCAGATGAACTGACCTATCTATTGTGAAACATAAGTAGTGACAACAGCAATAGGTAAAGGGCAGGGTGGGGCTGAACAAAGACTATACATACACAACCACAACACGTCCATTAAATGTACCTTATCTGCCCACCTAAAATTTTACCATTTGCTGTGCCTTAATGAGGAATTACAAGCCATGACACAACAGATAATAACAGGAAATAGATTCTACCAAAGAGGCGAAGAAGGGGAAAAAACAGCATGAAAAAAGCAAACTGAACTTCACAGTTGGCATCAACAGGTGGAGCGTAAAGCAAGGGAAGATGAGATTAAAAGTGTTCCCCCAGAGGGCACTGGCTACAAAAGATTCAGAAAGAACACAAAAGTATGTAGAAGTTAGATAATAAAATGTTCTGTGTGGCAAAGCCAGCCAACCAACAGCGAAATAAATCGTATGCAAGAACATTTGTTAAGCCCAGTAACTGCTCTTTCTATAGCAGCATGGAAAGACCACACAGCTTCTTCAAATGTTTCTCCAACATCCTTGCAAACTCACTCTCACCCATCACAAAATTAATAACATACACACACTCACAAAGTTCTCCACAGATTTTTTACTTCACCACCTGTAACATTATCCTCCACATAAAGCAGGCTGAATGAAATTGCTATCATTAACACCGAGATCATGAGGGTTCATAAGTATCCCTCATGAGCCTTGGGTTGCCTATCTCAGAACAAAGCTTCCCTCTACTGTCCATAAACTCATGGCCACTTTTTTTTTTTTTTTAGTTGATCACTTCTCACTTATAACCTTCAGAGACTTAGGGTTTTTTTTTGCTTTCATATGTGAAACTTCAGAACTAGGCACACCCCATTTATATTCACATTTTCCTAATTGTCTTTCACTACTTTCTGGTGTGCCCACAGTATTACCTTTGTTTCTTAGCGAGCTTTCTTGAGCTTCCCAATTTCTGTTCCACTCACCCTCAACATTTTGCCAAAATCACCAGCTTTATAGCAGCTTAAATCAACTGAAGTTACAGCTGCCCGGTCCCTCCTTTCACCCTACCTGTCCTCTTCACTCACCCTTTCACTTAGCTGAAACCCATAAGGAGTCATTTCAGAACACTGAAGTAAAAATCTGCCAGGGTTAGGTCCCTGAGGACTGAAATCTATGCTTGTGCCAAAGAAAGAGCAAAAAAACCGCCACCAACATAGGCCCTGCTTAGTTAAAAAAAAAAATAAAGGATTCCATACCCAAGCAAGTTCCCTGCAACTCTCTCTGAATCACTTCTCAGGGCTTCCTTTGACACATCTCAGAGAAAATATTCCAACAAGAAGCAGGAAGGAGTAGTGAAACAAAAGGCCACAAACTTACACGCTACAATTAAAATAAATGCTTAGGAGTGCAAAAATTAAAATCACATATAAAGAAATTTACAAAACTGAGATTGAAATAATTACGGCAATCACGCTGCGATCTGAGCTACGATCAGAAAAAGCTGGCAGAACCAAATCTGGCACAGATTGTTGTTGCAATACAAAGCACGGAAAACACACTGAGAAAGACAGGCATGCAAATTTTGCCAGGAATACACTTTTCATGTAAAAGATCTAAGCCGCTGTTCGTAGCCTCAAGCTACCTCCTGTTGAAGTTTGGTAAAGCTTAACAAAATCCACAGACTATTCTTTCACAACGAGCGCTACGTGCAAGAAGACAATGAAAGAGATTTAAGTACCTAAAACCTCTGTGAAGGGCTTAAAAGGAGGATCCTTGCACAAACACCCGAAGTGACCCGCGCGGAGCACCACCGGCAGGATTCCCCGCCCTCCCGTAGCAAGAGCCCACGCTCACGCAAAGTGTGTGCTTAGCGGGAACTGTGAGCAAGCAAACAAACACCCAAACTGCAAGTCCCCAGACAACCCTTCAGAGGCCTGCCCCGCTACCGACAGCCACTCGGGGGCTGTGGCCGCGCCTGGACGAGTGCCCCGGCGCCACACTCGTCCCGGGCCCCCAGGCAGCGCAGCCCGGCAGGGCCCGGGTGCTCCCACCGCCCCTTGAGGGCCGCCCGCCTCCGTGACTCAGGGCCGCCGCGCGAGGCGGCTCCTCGCTACCCGCCCGTTACCTGCATGCCCGGCGCTCCCGGGTCCACGCCGGTGTCCAGCACCGCCAGCAGCACCCCCCGTCCGTCGAAGTCGGGGAAGCGGGCAAGAAAGGCGGCGGCACCAGTCTCCTTCTTAGGCAGGAGACCGTGGAAGGGGAACGGCTCCTCCGCAGCGGCCGCCATAACGGGGTGAGGGGAAACCGTGCAAGAACAGAGCGCACCCGGTGCCGGCGGCTGCGATGAGGAGGGGGTGATGACGGCGAGGGGGGGAGGCCCAGAAGGACGGGCGAGGCCATGGGCGGCGCACGCGCCGTAGCGCCCCACCAATCCGCGGGGAGGTGCACCCTCTCGCGGCCTTCGGCGAGAGAGCGCCAGGGCTAAATCGACCAATAGGACCGCACTGTGGGCCGGCCTTCGCCCCGGAGCTGGAGGGGCCCGCGGCGGAAGACAGCCAATCAGAAAAGCGGCGTGCTCCACGCGCCGGAACCCCGGGCTGGGCCGCCGGGCCCCAGGGGCGGCAACGGGGAGGGGCGGGTGATAGCGGGGCGGGGACGGGCAGGGAGCGGAGCGGAGTCGAGCCGAGTCCGGGGCTGAGGCAGCCACGTACTGCGGCGATGGTGGGGAGTGCCCCGCGGGTGGTGTGGGAGATGCTTCCCGGAGGTGCGAGGGCAGCTGTGGGCCATGCTTCCCTGCGTGCAGGACTGCTGGCGGTCTCAGGCTCTCGGTCCTGCCTCAGGGCTATTGTCGGGCTGCAGCCTGCGGCGGTGGCGGGTGGCTTCCCTCATACCCCCTTCAGTCACTGCTGAGAGGATATGGCAGTGCTGTGGCCGCGAAATTCTGCGGTGTCAGAAGGATAACCGATGTGCAATTTTACTTTTTTTTTTTTCCATTATTATTTATTTGAATTTTGCTGATTCATTATCTGGGATAAAACGTGGTCTCTGCAGGAGCCCTGTATCCCGGTTACCGTGGGTTGATGCGGCAATTGTATAGTGTTGGAAGGCAGTTTGCTGCTTTTGCTGCTGCTTACTAAAGACAAATATAAGCACTAACTAAAGGTTATGTCGAGCTCCAAGTAAGTTGTTTGTTTGGTTGGGGTTTTTTTTGTTTTGGTGGTGTTATTTTTTAAAGTAGTCAAAGGAAAAAGTACTTTGAGGAGGGGTTTTAAGGTTAGTTTCTAGTTTTCATGGTCACATACAAGCTTCCAGAGGAAGCTGAAACCAAATACAGAATTTCTTTTCAATAGATGTCTTAGTTCTTAGTTGTAGTATCTGACGTGTGGCTTTGAGCCATTTTAACCAGCTATTGCTGGTTAAGCTGGTTGGTTACTTGAGTATCACTGCTTTCCTCAAGCAAGTTTCGGTTCAGTTGCATCAGAGGAAACAGGTGAAATTTCTCTGGCAACATAGATGTGTTCACTGTAAAGCAAGGAGCATTTTTGGCTTTTGAGAATTGTTCTATTCGTGTGATGTTTTTTGTTTCATGGGTTTGCTGAAATACCTGAATATCACACATTGATCTTTGAAGTAAACCCGGCATTTGTTAATTCTTAGCAGAAATGGGGATTGTGGGTTGCTATCAAATAGTGGCACATTATGCTTTTCCCCCATTTTATGTGCTACCATCAGCAATGACTTTCAGCTCATCAATGACTTGGAGATGTGCAGAATTTTTATGCAAGTAAAGTACTAAAATAAACCTGAAGAGCACCATCTTAAAAATACATATTCTACAAAGAAAAATAGTGAAAGCTGTACCATGTGTAGTTAGTGTGCAACTCAATCTGCTCCCCTCTTTTGCTTTCAGTCATGAGTCAAAATTTTACATTTTTATATCCAGGTACCATGTGCTTGACTTTCTTGGAATACTGCTGGTGTCTGGCAGCCATATTCAGGCTTTTTTAGAATTACATAAAGCATAGACTGTTTTTAACCTAGGGAGAGAATTATTCTGACAAGGTGTTTTTTCACTTGTTTAGTACCTAATTGACTGCCCATTTTAATTTAGTTTCCCGTCTGTGTATCATTGCTGACGCATCTCCATGGGAGAGGCTTGTATTTCTGTCAGCACATTCAGATAAACAGACGCTGGATATATCCTATTCCAAGTATATTTTGAGATTAAATTCTGAAAATGTTTCATATTCAATAAACTGGCTGTATGTTAAAATTTGGAAACATGTATTATTAACTCTGAAAAGTTCTGCTCTGTTCTGTTGCCTTGGTCTGAAGAGTTATACCACAAACAAGTCATCTAATTGGCAGGTACATTAATTGTACAGGTATACATAACTCAGTGATGTGCACTGGCATGTAGCAGGGCAGGTTCTGCAGGAAATACTGGGATTTGAGGGAGGTGTGCCAATCATATTTTGACAGACTTTAAAGTAAGACCATGAGGGAGGAAATAAAAACCTCATTTTGGTTACAGTCTTTAAAATGTGACTGTACTGTATCAATTGTATGAGTACAGTTGTCAGGATACAGGGTTAAGGTTGTGCATCTTACTGAGCCTTTGCAGATCTGAATATAGTGAGATTTTTGGAATTTTAATTCTGAGCATCTCAGATTTCTGGTACTAGTTTGCTTATAGAGCTTGTTACAATAGTTCTGCAATATATTTATTTTATAATGGTAATATGCATACTCAACACTAATTCCCCTTACTGTATCTAAGTTTCTGAATTGTAATAAATAGATCTTTGTTTTGCTCTGAGTAATACTGCTGTTGTTCCACAAAAGTAAAGGCAAAAGTAGAGCTGCCATGTTGAAAACTCACAGTTTATCACATGACCTCTTGAGACAATGCGGTTTGGTCATTACAGTAATGATTTAGCCTCTCTTGGGATCTAAGCTTGTATAGCAGTTTATCTGGATTTGCTGTGTTAAATAGACTCACATCTCCATATTAGGAACCATCTCAGGTGTTTGCAACCCAATCTGGGGATGGAGCCAAAGGGAAGGAGGAAGCAACTGCTGCCACATCCCAGGACTGATTCTCAGGGGTGCACATAATTGCAGATCCCTTGGAAAGCATTGAAGACCAGGGCTGCACATCTTCCCTAACAATCATTCCTCTGCTGTAAAATAGGTTTGAGGCCTGGCAACATTTAAATATCTACAGGTGGCTAGATCAACATGTGCCTATGGTGCTCCGTCCAGATTCAGCTCTGAATACTCGCAGTGTGGATGTGCTTCTAGCTCTGCTCCTGAGAGCCAACAGAGCTGCTTCAGTCCTGACAGCCCTGAGCCATTCCCCACCTCTCTCAAATCAGGCCTGTTGAAGTGCAGAGCCAAGCCAACAGTCCCCTTTGATTTCACATGCAGTCTTAATGCACCTTAGAGGCTGAGGAGACTTGCTGCGTCTTCTGCCTGATGTTACACCCGGAATTTGGATGCTGGGATTCAAATCTCCTTTCTGTCTGAGCTTGCATCTTTTTGCAAACTAAATGCTCTAGCTGCTGCAGGGTTCTCTCTGAGTCAGATGTTTCTGTTTTGCATGGAAGCTTCCCAAAGTGAACAGGAGATGACATGACCTAATATCTTGCTGATGCAGGCACTGACATGGATGGAAAAGTACTAGGGTTTTCATTCTCTAATTAACACTAAAGTATTATATGCAAAGGATCAATTGGAATTGAGTGTAAGAACTTGTTAAATTTCAGTTGCCAGCAATTACCTTAGTCACCATGTTAGAGATTTCACCCACTCATGTCTCAACCCTGCCTCAGTTACAGCATGCTGAGGGGAGGAATGAGCCTACCAATTAGACTGGTACAGGAGGTGTTTGATCAAATCACATTAGGCAAGGGAGGCACTTCAGTATTCTGAGTGTTATTCAGTATTCTGAGGTGTTCAGGTACAGACTCCTCACCATTCCCACTTCATGAGAGAGGGTTAGCTTCAGAATTTAACTTTAGTTTATAATGGGGATAGATTATCCTTGAATGAGGTAGATGTGTCACGATACACCTAATTCCTGCCGTTGCCTTTTGTCTCCATTTCCTTAACACTGGTTCAAGTTATTCCCGTGAAAGCATAAATCAAAACAAGTCCTCAAGAAAGAGCAGTTTCCCACTCCCTCCCAGCCTCATCCTAGGCCGTTCATTCTTATTCTTCTTGCCTGGTCACGTGTGCTGGTGTGGCTTCATGCTGGAGTAGTTCAAGGAATAAATCTGGCTGAAAACTATCCCACAAAAGCATTTTGGAGCATTTACCTGCGACAGGCTCCTGTGCCACCTCTGTCGATCTTGTGCTGGTGCAGAGTGGAGGTGGTTTCTCACAGTGCAGCACTTGCTGGTTAAATGGGCCAAAGGGACTGTGGTACTGCATGGGGAGCCCTGGCCACTGCATGTGGTCCTTAGTGCATTCTGGAAGAGAAAGATGATTTACAGGATTTGGATTTTGTTTACCAGGCCCAGTATTGAGACTTCCATAAAGTTCCTGTGTAAGTTTTTTGGTGGATCTGTTGCATAAAGATTTTCAAAGAAGTTTCAATCCTAGTACTTTTTGATTAGCACAGATTAGTTCAACGTTGACACAGGTATCAGCTCTACACAATGAGTACTTTGGCATTGTTATTCATAGAAAAAAAAACACATGCCCACCTTTTAATTCTGATAACAAATCTTCCTTCTTGGACAGTGTGTCCTCAGCTTTGTCTTCATGAATTTATTTACCTGGTTGGGTCAGTTTGCTATGTTCATTTTTTGATAAATATAAGAAGATCATTGTATACACGTACAATTATGAGATCGTCAGTCAACAACAGCTAGCTGTTACTCTCCAACATAATTGTATTTCAAATATGCCTGTCAAAGCTAGAAGTGAAAATTAATGAATCCTATTGTTCTCTGTCACAGAGTCTTGAGTCCCAGCTAATGGTTTTAGGCTATGCTGTCATTCACAAAATCATTAAAAATTGTCTGAAATGATATCCATATGGAGAACTGTTCATATATTGCTTTAAACACTTTCTCAATGATGTTCCTGAAAAAACTGATTAGTCCTGAACATTTAAAAAGTTAGGGTTCATTTAGCAAGACTCTGGCCTCAGCAAAAAGCTGCAGCTGAAGTTCAGTACCAGTCAAGCTTCAAACAACTCGTGGTTTTCTGTGACAAAATTATTAGTAGGGTTGCTTCTAAAAGACATATTTCCTTGAGAATAGAGGCACAAAACCAAATGCCATACTCACTTCTTCAATGTAACTAACAAATGTTTTTCAAGTTTGCTTTTTTTGGCATAA